AACAAGTACTTTTACATTTGTTCGATTGAATATTCAACTCCCAGTTCATTTTTTTCCTTAAAGGATTATAATACATTGAAATTATTCACAGATGATTGTATTGAGAGTGAGAAAAAAAACTGTTCCTTCTTTTCATTGTAAACTTCAGACAATCATAACAAGCATATTAAAAAATTTTCACCCATACATTATTGAAGTTAATCAAAGAATTATGTGTGTTGTCAGTTATACTTTGGCGCCATTTTTTTTTGATGAATAGAGTTTTATAAAATATTTTTATGTTACCAGTTTAAAATTTGCTGATAAAAACACTAGACCACCATGGAAAACCTGAAAGCACTGAATGACCGTTTCATCCTAGTATGGAACTTCTCAGAAGTGCGTATTCAAGGTCCCATTCGCGGAATTCGAACCCAGAGGTTAAGCTTACGTACGCGAGACTGATAGGTCCTAGGTTTGAATCTCGCGATGTGGGATCGTGGATGTGCACTGCTGAGGAGTCCTATAATAGGACGAAACGACGAAACAGATTAAACACAATACTATAGTGTAAAAATGATATTTTGAAATTAGTATATATTTTCCAATTAATCTTACCATAGATTGGGAACTATTTCATATTAACTTGATGCATTACAATATTGTAATATAATCTTTTTTTAGAAAAGATAATTCTTCTAACTGTATTGAATTTCATTAAATTCATATAATAATAATCAGCACTTCTAACTATGGAATAGATTATTATTTAAAACATAAATTGTGAAGTCTTATTCTTTTTAAATTCACTGTCGTGTAATTTTATCAAGGTTAGACGTAAGGTATTACGGAATGATGGTAAATTAGTTGATGAGGTTGTGAATGTTCATCGACTAAGATGGTTGGGTCATGTGTTACACACATAGATCTATTACAAACAGTTAGTCAACTTGATAAGTTTGAATATGATAATGAAAGTTCAAATTCATCAGAGTAATATATTTCTGAATGTTATATCTTGATGAGAATAATGAATGGTAACTTTTGGGATCCATTTAGAGACCAATACTATACGTATATTTTTATTGTATAATTATTAAGTAACTAAACTATTCATATTCATGTCCCTCTTATCATAAGCTTTATTTTGATTTATGAACTATTATTATACGATTTACCATTCTTGAATTATGCCCTGTCTATTAATTACTATCTCCCTCATTCACAGCCACATTTGGCTAAAACTTGCACAAATGTTATTTCCTATTTTATGGTACGATATGGTCTATCTGGTTGGTATATAAACCTAGTGTGTTTAGAATAAATAATTCATATCGCTGAGGCTGAGATTGGTGTTTTAGACTTAACTGGCTGGTCTAAGCTAGGCGGGAAGCAGGACCGATAAGTACTCCAGACTACTCGCACGGGTTTTATGCGTCATTGGTCCGGTTACCACTTTATTTTTTAAAAGAGATTCATCATTTCAACTTGATAATATTAAATATTTTCAAAGGTGGTTGATTGTTTTCAACTATCGTTAGAGAATTATTTTTTCTTTTACTAATTAAATCAAATTTATGTTTTCATTTTCAGTACAAACAACATACAACACTAATTGCATCTTTCCTTTATTATCATTATCTTTTTCTTGAAACAATTCTCAGTTAATTCAGAAATCATTTTTCTGAAGTGTCCAAATATATTGATTCCCCCAAATGCTCTCGTATGGTCATAAGTGAAGAGAGTTAACTCTCCCTCTCGAAATGCTCTCAGATTGGCCACGCATATACATCCACTACCAGGGTAATACTACTGACTGCCTTCTCATGGAGGCGGTGTTCTTTACAAAATTGAGGACGAAAAGCGAATGTCCGGCTTCATAACCGAGATGGTAGATATGGGGGATCCACCAAGGAGAGTTGGAAAACCCTGATTTCAAACCAATGGTGCACATGAGCTCCAGGATCCTGAGGGAACAAATGGCGTATGAATCTATTGTTGGTCCACGGTTACCATAGGACTGCATCTTCTGACATTGCTTCACTGTGTTGTGAATTAAACCTCCAGGGTAAAGGCTCAAGATGTGGCCCTATACGAAAAATCACCTGCTTTGGTTTGGGTACCCAAGTAGTATCATTGCCTACACACAAATCAAGTGACTTGTGTGGTGCATATATTATTCGGTGACAATATTTATCTATTCAAATAAGAATCAATACATAAATTGATATGCTGAAATATGATCCTCTTAAAAAGGATCTTCCTGTCCTTTGATTTATTTTTGGTGTAAAATTATTCTTGCTTAATGAACTGTATCGAAAAAGAATAAAAACTGAAATAAAAATCAATTTAGGATATAATTCTGTTGTTTTTAATAATTTATATTGTGTACTGTATTATTTCGTGTATGCCAGTCATTAGTTTTTATTAAGACTATAATTTGTTTACCATTTATTACTTACTTGGAGACAACATAAATTATACATATTGAATGATTTAAATATTGTTTATAATCAGGAATTTTAGTTGGGATTTTTTTGGAAATTTCAATAGTTGAAATCATGAATGAATTGAAGCTAGATCACCATGGAAAACCTGAAAGTACTAGATGGCTGTTTCGTCCTAGTATAGGAATCCTCTCTGGCAGTGCGTATCCACGATCCCGCACCCCGCGAGCGCTTAGCCATTAGACTACTTAGTCGGAATCCAACGGTGTTAATGTCTAACTTCAATCAATCCACGAAGTTGCACCACCGTACACCATTATCTTCAGTGAGCTGATATCTCACAACAGACCTGGTAGAACTTCAGGAAATGCCTCTTGAAGTCAGTCACTAGTGAGCAGATGATTATTATCAGAAAGGGTTTTGAAGTTAGACATTAACACCGTTGGTTGCCAGCCGGTTCAGTGGTCTAATGGCTAAGCGCTCGCGCTCGAGACTGATAGATCCTGGATTCCAATCTTGGGGAGGGGGAAGGATCGTGAATGCGCACTACTGCGGAGTCCCATACTAGGACGAAACGGCCGTCCAGTGCTTCCAGGTTTTTCCATGGTGGTCCAGCTTCAATTGACTCGTGATTTCAACTATTGTTTATCAGATAATTATTGGTGGTTTACACTGTTTTGGAAAATACCCAACATGATACATAAATGATAATATAACCTCGTTATTATTGATGCGTCTTTTTTTGTTTTACATTTATTTTAAATGTTGAATAGCAACTGAAATAAACTCTTTAGTTTAAGTTTTCAGCATAGGGGTTGGGGAGATTATTAAGTTATTGATTGAGATCATGAAACGATTGGTGTTAGATAACCATGGAAAACCTGGAAACACTGAACAGGCCGTTTTGTTCTTTTGTGGGACTCCTCCTTGGCAGTTCACATCCACGATGGTGCCTCATGAAATTCGAACTCAGGACCTTCAGTTTCGCGAGTGAACTCTCAAACTACTAGACCACTGAGCCGGCCTGCATTCAACGGTGTTCATGTTTAATCTCAACTAATCTACGAAAATTGAGCGACTATCTTCCATTGTACTAGGGTAGATACCTGGTAATTGTGATCAAATTGAATCAATGGGAAAGTGTATCAAGAGAGTTGAATTTAAATAATTGGGATCTATTTCTCAGGAAGTATCATCAGACTATTGATTTCCTATTTAGTTCATAATAATTTATTATTGAAAATTTAATATTGATTGAGCGACAAGTAGTCGTCAAAGTCATATTTGCCTAGTCCTTAAATCTTATCTATTTCTGCTGATCGAATCATGATGTGATCAATTGTCTGAGTGACTTGACATCTCGTAGACTAAGTATCTATGTGAAGGTTGGACTTGATAGTTTCGAATAATATCAGAAGAGGTTTTGTGCATATTATAATAATTTTAATGGTTGACATCATGAGTCAATTGAAGTTAGACCACCATGGAAAATATGGAAGCACTGAACAGTCGCTTATTATCTCGTGTACTGTGTTGGAAATTTAAGTAACTAGACTTATTTGACAGAAAAACCCAGATCTAGCATTCGCGCTAGCTGACACTCGTGCGCAAGACCTACTAGCAACATTCAGGCGACTGAATCACTGTGAATTTTATTGAAGAAATTAACAAATCTCTGAAACTAATAGATGATAAGAACATTTACATATGAAAATTAGACGAATGTTTATATACTGACATCAATATTGTTATTACTTTTGATCACATTACCAATTTAACTTGTCAAAATTGATATATAACCTCCTAAGAAATTACAGGTAATCATTGATAATATCGAGGGTTCCCTACCTTCTACTTCCTATCGCTTGACATTAATGAAATTCCAAAAACAATAGGCATTTATTATGGTTAAGTATGAAAAAAAAGTGGATTAAATTTGATTTCAATGAAGATAAATCAAATTATAGAGGATCTTTAATCTAATAACAATATAATTAAGACTAATTTTTCCAAATAGAAAAGATCGATCAAAATTTAGTCTTAACTAGTAAAGACTATAAACATTTTTGATTCATGTAATATACACCATACCAATTAAACAAACTGTGGTGTGAGCTACTTATATTGACATAAGTAGTATATAACGTGCGTTAAAAGGATGTAATATCTGGCAGCAGAAAATGGAGACGATCAAGAAAAGAAGAGCAAGAACACAATGGAATTTGTAAGAAATCGCATGAACAATGAAATGGGAGACAATGGATTAGTGTTTGCAACTTAAACAGTACAGTTTGATATGATGCATTGATAATTTGCAAATTGACAATTGACTTTATGGTATTCAGATTTTGTTGAGGTAGTCTGTAATTTTGAGCTAAATGCATCTGTTTGTACCCACCCGTGTTCTTGTTCACTACAAAACTAATAAGGTTTTGGAATTTAAGGTTATAGGTACTAAATTTAAGTCTCATTGTGGATAGCAACATCAAGATGTAGGTATTTCAAGATAACAAGAAATGAATTAATGTATTTTATCTAATATCACGAATTTATTGATTTCCATAGAAAACATACCTCTTGATTCATGAAATTGTAATGCTGTTGCAGCATCTGCACCAAGAGAAAAATAATTATTGAAAACTTTCAAGGGTAATGTATCTGAAATTGGTCTATTTTTTGTGGAATCATCATCTTCATAGTCGGTTAGTTGTTGAGTTATTTGAAAATCTGTTCGTACTTCACTATTCACTTGCCATCTGTAATATAGAAAATGTGAAATCGGAATGATTAAATAATTATATCTAGCTGAAGTATAAATGAAGTGATATGATACTTAAAAGTGTGGCAAAAAACGTATACACATCGAATTTGTGTAGGTCTCAACATATACAAAGGGAAAAGCAAGATTCTCCGAAACAACACAACATGCATCAATCATATCACACTTGATGGAGAATATTTGGAGGATGTATAAACCTTTACATATTTAGGCAGCATCATTGATGAACACGGTAGATCTGATGCAGATGCAAATACGTGGATCGGCATAGCAAGAGCAACGTATCGACAATTGAAGAACATCTGGAACTCAAAACAACTGTCTGTCAACCAACATCAAAGTCAGAATTTTCAAGATAAATGTGAAGACAGTTCTACTGTATGGAGAGGAAGCTTGGACAACTACGAAAGCCATTATTCACAAGATACAAGTGTTTATTAACAGTTGTCTACACAAAATACTTTGGATCAGTTGGCCAGACAATATCAGCAATAACGTAGTGTGGAAGAAAACAAACGAGATTCCAGTAGAGGAAGAAATCAGGAAGATGCACTGGAAGTGGGTAAGACACGCATTGAGGAAAGCACTCAACTGCATCACAGTGCATGCCCTCACTTGCAATCCTCAAGGACAAAGGAGAAGAGGAAAACCAAAGAACACACTACACCGAGAAATGGAGACAGACATTAGAAGAATGAACAACAATTGTATAGAACTAGAAAAGGCCTAGGACAGAGTATGTTGGAGAATGCTGATGGGCAGCCTATGCTCGGTTGGGGGTAACAGGCGTAAAGAAATCAGATTTGTATGAAATGTATTATAGATTATTATAATATATGTAAAACGATTAATGTAAACTAACAAATGAGAACTATTTATAATCATGTGTGTCGGATATACATAGTAGATAGTAATTCAACTAATCAGTAACAATATAAAATCTTCTAGCGATACTATAAGTTGTGAATGAAACAATGAAATAAAAGATAGTAAGCCTTAGATTTTGGCTCAGTATTCATTTATCCATTCAAATGAAAAACCATACTCTACAGTAAACGTTACACTATGAATTAACCTTTTAAATAGGTCTCCAGTGCTGCCTAGTTTTTTGTAGTGATTTGGGTAAGATCAATCAGTGATGTGAACCGTCCAGTGCTTTCAGGTCATCAATAGTGGCCTAACATTGATCCATTCATGATCTTAATCAAAACTCAACAATCTTTAAACCTCTACTGATAATTATCATGTACTCACTAGTGACTACATCGAAGATAGATTTCCTGGAGTTCTAGTGATAAACCGTGGCCAGTGGAGTTCAAGCGTGTCTGTTGTGAGGTAATTGTTCACCGAAAACAATGGAGATCGATTGCGTAAAATCGCTGATTGGTTGAAGTTAGACATTAACACTGTCGGATACCGGTTCAGAGGTCTAGAGATTAATCTCTCACAAATGCAAAACCATTAAAATCACTCTGATAACATTCAGTGGTATAATTTCAGGGTTTAGTTCTGAGTTCAAACAAACATGAGCTCTCAATAAAATCAATAGATTATCATTTTTGTGTAACACAAATTTATTGAAGTTGAAATTGTATTATTTGACGTTAACCCTATGTCTCTAAAGGTTAAATGTCAGCAAACAAAATATTGATTTTGAGTTCCTATCTGAACATCAGCATTGAGATCCAAATAAACCAATGTAAAATGTCTGAAATAGGATGAAATATAAATCCAAGATTCTACTGATTACTGTTTCTTGGTTCTTAATCAGATGTGCATGTTTTTCAACAAATATTTAGACAAACTATTTATACAATTTTTTGGTTAAGATCATGAACCGATTGATATTAGACCACTATTGAAAACCTGGAAGCACTGGATGACCGTTTCATTCTATTTTGGGACTCCTCAGCAGTGCGCATCCACGATCCCGCTCGCGGGATTCAAACTCAGGGCCTTCCGTCTCGCACGCGAACGCTTAGCCTACCGGACAACTGAGCTGGCATTCAATGGTGTTAATGTCTAACCTCAACCAATCCACGAAGTTGCGTGACCATCTTTCATTGTACTGAGGTAGATACCTGCCTCTACCCAACACGGACTAGCTCAACTGGTCACGGCTTTTCACTAGAACTCCGAGAATTCCCTCACGAAGCTAGTCACTAGTGAGCACATGGTAATTTGATTGAGACCCAATAGGTTAAGCGTTCACGTGAGAGACTGAAGGCCATGGGTTCAAATCCCGCGAGCAGGATCGTGAATGAGCACTGCCGAGGAGTCCCAAAATAGGACTAAACGGTCGTCCAGTACTCTCAGGTTTTCAATAATGGTCTAACATCAATCGGTTCACGATCTCAATCAAAAACTTAACAATCTCCGCAACTCCTTAACTGATGATTTACTGTAAAAAGTCAAATTTTTCATAAGATTTAACTTTAAAAAATTATTAATTTATCATCGATTTTAATGAAAACCTCAATTTAGTCGTATTGTAGTATTAACGTATAGACATATATTCATGGGGTTGTTCCCAAAGTGACTGATATTTACACAATTGTATGTAACTTGTAACGATGACTAATTTGTTATGTTTTTTTAGTTTTTGAATAAGACATATAACTTTTGTAACTATGCCTAGTGATATCAGTTTTGAAATTTTGATTTCTGCTTATCATTCGGTAAGTTAAACATTGATATATCAACCATATTATTACAAGTTTAAATTCTTTTATATTTGATTTCAATACAGTAACAAGATAGTACGAGTGATCTATTACAGTGTAATCACATTATAAGAATTTTTGAATCATTTGAAGCTAGGCCAGTATGGAAAACCTGGAAACACTGAACGGCTGTTTCATTCTATTGTGAAACCCCTCATCAGTGCGCATTCACGATCCCGCCCCACAAGATTCGAACCCAAGACCAACGCTTAGTCTCTAGACTACTGAGCTGGTCGGCCGGTCGGTATCCAACGCTGTTAATGTCTAACTTCAACCAATCAAGAAAATGGAGCGACACATTCACCATTTTATTCAATCAGTTACTATTTCACAACAGACCCCATTGAGCTCTAATGGTCGCTGTTTCTCACTAGAACTCCAGGAAATAATTCTTGGAGACAGTCATTAGTGAGCTTTTGATGATAATTTTGAGAAGAGGTTTTGTTGAGTTTTCAGTAATTTTATAATTGAATTCATGGATTAATAGAAGCTAGACCACCATGGAAAACCTGGAAATACTGGATGGTCGTTTTATCCTAGTATGCCACTCCTCATCAGTACACACCCACAATCCAACCACGCAAAATTTGAACCCAAGACCTATCAGTCTTGCGCGTGAACGTTTAACCTTTAGATCACTAAAAAATGTTTATACACAATAAGTAACTGATTAACTAATCTTAAATACATTTTCATTGATACAAACCTGATTGTCAATTAATGTAAATTAATCATATTAAAATGAATTTATTCAAAAAAAACATTTAATTTTATCCCTAGTGTATATTAAATTATTTCTATCTACTGACTTTATATTCTTACATTCATCACATTATTCACCGTTTCTAGTATAGAAAGAAAAAAATCTGGTTCTCCGCAGTTATAATAAATATCATTCATAATTCCTATACAGTATTTATGAGGCCTAATAGAATATAAGAAAATTATCTAATATACAAATTGTAATAAAATTCAAGTTATAACACAAGTCATATAATATCTAAGTTAGGTAGATGAAATTCATTGATAAGAAACTCGAATCTATTAAGCAAAGATGAGTAGTGGCTAGCAGTGGAATCCAGGATGCACTTTTTGTCCTATTTAGGACTCGTCAGCTGGATGTACTTGCATCTCAAAGAGTTGATGTTCACTCTGCATCTCTGCAATTCTAAATAACAATTGGAAGATACAAGTGAAACAACACAAAGTGAATTCAGATGTGTAAGTTTGATGTTAATTGGCACCGGTCAATAACAATGAGGTAGTAAATTCATTTGATTTAATTACAGGCTGAAAAAAATTATCAGATATCAAAGGATATATCAGGGTGAAACAAATTTTCATTATAACTAATTATAGTAGTATTATTATTTACTAGCTTGTATAATTTTCTGGTTATCATTACTAATTTAGTGTATACTACTTACGCTGATACAATATAAATAGTATGTAGCACCAATTGAAATTGGAATGTCTATCAATAGAAGATTGAATTGAAGAGAACAAAAATGGAAATAAAGAGTAATTAGAGTAATAATAGAATTGATAGAATCATAATAAATGCAATGAGCAATTGAAGGGGGGGGGATGTGTAGATAACGTATTTGATGTATAATTTTCATATTTAATGGAGACATAATATAAATTATAGAAAAACTGGTTTTACCCCCTAAGTCCTCCTTCACTGTACTATGATTAGTAGTTATAATAATAATAATAATGATAGGAATGGTTACAAATTTATCCAGTAATTGTTATTATTATTAAATTACAATAATTATATTATTGACAATGATATGATGAGAAATGAAAAGAGAACGGAACTAATTAAATGATGCATTGAACCTATATAATATATAAATTAATGTAATGAATTGTAAAATAATATTAGATTAAGCATATTACTTACTTACTTACTTACTTACTTACTTACTTACGCCTGTTACTCCCGATGGAGCATAGGCGATCGGGGGCCGGGAGTAACCTCTGAGGCTACTGCCAGTCCCAAGCCCGAATATAGGAGGAGGGTTGGGCAAGGCGTTAGCGACCCCATCCCATAGAAAACTAACTCGCTAGAAAAAACAATTCTAACCGGAGAAAAATAATTCAAACCATTTAAACTCTGCCCTAGGAGTTAGGTCTTCATTTAGAAGAGTTATGATGCCTCATAGCGAAAACCGAGTTCCTTCAGAAGTCACGAGGCTAATGTTTCTTCTGACAATCAGAGCAACCATTGATTAAGCATATTAAGATTAAAATAATATTAGAGATCATATTTAAAACATGAATAAAATTTTATTCATAGTGATAATAATTTATAATCAATGAACGAACAATTATAATTGAATCGATATATATATATATATATATATATATATATATATATATATATATATACTGGGAGAGAACCAGATTACGGTGGAGGAAGAAATCAGGAAGATGCACTGGAAGTTGATAGGACATACATTGAGGAAAGCACCCAACTGCGTCACGAGGCAAGCTTCCACTTACAATCCTCAACGCCAAAGATGAAGTGGAAGATCAAAGAATATATTACACCGAGAAATGGAGACAGACATGAGAAGAATGAACAAGAATTGTATAGAACTATAAAGGAAGGCCCAGAACATAGTGAGGTTGGAGAATGCTGGTCGGTGGCCTATACTCCATTGAGAGTAACAGACATAAGTAATGTATATATATATATATATATATATATATATATATATATATATATATATATATATATATATATATATATATTAGCTAAGATAGTTGGAGTTCAAATTTATTACAGAGAGAAAGTTTATGCAGAGAAAAACAAGGATGATGAACTCTTATTAAACTGTTAGTGATATGAACAATGAATGGATGAAGAATTTTCGGGTCATAATTTACAAAATTGTCAAAATCACATTGCAAATGTTAAAGCAAACAACTTAAAGATATTTCTATTGACCTGCATTATTAGTCAAAATGTAAAAAAGAAGAAATTTTCACTACTACTAATAGTAGTAGTAGTGCAATATATATATCACTTATGTATGCAGATATAGGTAGTATGTAACATCAGTCGGAAGTGAGATGTCTGCAAGCAGAAAGCTGAAAAAATTGAGATTAAGAGAACAAAGAAGGAAACTGAAAACAATCATGATAATAACAAGAATGAAGGAACAATAAAGTTTGTAAGAGACAATTCAAGGATGTGAAAATGATATATTTGATGTATGATTTCCACATCTTACTAAAACACTGTGTGATTATGCATTGAAAAACAAATTGGTCTTCCCCAACTTGGTGTTGATTCACTGCAGTAATAGTGAAAAAACTACAACCTTATGATTTAGTGATAGTCATCGTTATAAACTGAAATCAGTACTTAATATCTGCACAGTTTTATTTTATTCACATATCTTTCAATATGATTCAGGGTAAAGAGTTGGAATTCAACAATAAATGTTCCGAATTTTACAGTTTAAAAAATATCCCATTGCGTAACTTTATGGTATTACAGTCGGAAATATTTTTATCAGTTAGTCATTTTAAATGTTTAGGCTAATACGAGCTTTCTAATGTTTTGAATTTATATAGACATTTTGGATTATCACACTCCATCTTTCATTTTGATGACATATTGTCAAACAAGCTGATCAACATAATACTAGACTTCATTTTGATTGGCAATCATCAGCAAAAAAATTCTGACAACCTACAAGCATACTAAGTTATCACAATACTGTTACCCGTTACTAATGTTTAATAAAAATTACATGATCTTTTTTCTTGCTAGTAATGATCCATTAAATAATTTCGACGATCTAATTTATAAAATATCATATCAAAATATTGTATTGCCTTAAGTAGTTGTAACATTGTAACTTTATAGATAGAATTCGATTAACATAGAACGCATTCTACAATCCAATTAATCACTAAACCTAATTCTCTTTATCTTTTATAAAAAAAAACTTATTTTTAATCTTAACAGTTGAGATCATGAGTCGATCGAAGCTTGACCACCATGGAAAACCTAGAAGCATTGGATGGCCATTTCGTTCTATTATGGGACTTCTGGGTTCGAGTCTCACTAGGTGGGATCGTGGATACACACTACCGAGGAGTCCCAAACTGGGATGAAACGGCTATCCAGTACTTCCAGGTTTTCCATAGTGGTCTAGTTTCAATTAACTCATGACCTCAACCAATTAAATTACTATAATATCCACAAAAATCCCCTACTGATATTAATCAACATGTGCTCACTAGTGATTGGCTTCAAAATGTATTTCTTGCAGTTCTAATGAGAAGCGGTGACCAGTGGAGTTCAACCAGGTCTGTTGTGAGATATTAGCTCACTGAAGACAGTGGTGTACGGTAGCGCAACTTCGTGGATTGATTGAAGTTAGACATCCATTGGATGCCATCCGGCTCATTGGTCTAATGGTTAACTGCTCACGCACGAGACTTATAGATCCTAGATTCAAATCTCGTGGAGGGCAAGATCATGAATGCACACTGCCAAAGGAGGTGTTCTATACTAAGGCGAAACAGCCATTTAGTTCTCTCAAATTTTCCATAGTTGTCTAACTTTAATTCACATCATCATCATCTGAACTATTAAAAAAAAGTTACTATAATATTCACAAAATTCCTTCTGATTTTTAATTATTTATGTTTAAAATTAAAAAAAAGAAGAAAACTTTTTTTGAAAAAAAATTTCATTGAATTCCTTGCATCATTGATTTTCCACCCTCATTTTTCTATATACATTTTAATGTTCAATAAGTATGTTCTATTTTGTCGGTATTATGATTATGATTATTATTAAGGCATGAATTCAACCGATTGTATACAATCATTAATAATTATTATGTAATTCATTCTATGAGCATAAAAGTAAAAGAAAAATTTATTATTATTATTTAATTTACTTTTTTACTCGATTTTTCTAATCATTAACTAACTAACTATAAAGTACTTTTAAACAAAAAAGGAAACTATTTTATCTTTTTTATTTTTATTTTTAAAAAAAATATTTATTTATGTTCATTTTGAGAGGGGGGATCATTTATAATTGTTTGTCTATCTGATAAGATCTTGTTTTTCCCCCACACCACCCTACGCTACCCTACCTTACCCTACACCACCCCACCCCACCCGTCCACTCCACTCCACTCCACTCCCCGAAAAAATAAAATTTAACAAATTTTATATTGTTTAACCAACAACAAAAAATTACAACATCAAAAGTATTATTTTATAATAATAATAAGACAATTTAATAAAGTCGGGTACTAAGGAACATTAGATAAAATGTATACAATAGTTTAATAAGGGTAGAATATCAAATTAATGGATTGTATACTTAAACTGATTGTATTAACAATACACAAAAACAATCTGAAAGTAATAGACCATTTATCAGTGGAATAAAATACTCTCAATAGGTTGGTTGTTTATTTTTTTTTAAAAAAATAAGCGTTTATATGATAAAAGTCAATGACATCAATGTTGCTATGATGTTTGATCGTAGTATCGTTTTAACTTGTGAAAGTTATGATTTCATTTATTGGATTAACTTTAATTCAATATAGAGTTTTTGTTTGAATAGTTCATTTCATAACTCAGTGAGTTTATATTAGAATTTTTTTTAGGTAAACTGGTATTTAATTACTTATATACTTGTATTAATTTGATATCTATTCCAGATTATGTAGAACAATTGATTGATCACTGGGTGGTGATCAATGTCATGCTTGTCTAGTCCTTATTAGTGCAGATCGAATGCTATCATGTTGTAATGTGGCCACCAGTCTAGGTGACTCGACACTACGGGCACTATGTATTGAGATTTAGATGTTGGCTGGAGGTAGTAGACTACATTATACATTCTACTGAAGTCGTTTGGTTTATAAATAGTATTGTGCCTGATCTATAGCTTTTTAATGATTTTAGGTTTTGTAAAATAAAAAGATATACAGAGAACGTCATACTTTCCATAGAAACATTAATATACTATATTATAGTTAAAATTGTATTTGCGTATTAAAGATATAGTTCCTTTTTCTCCATAAGCTTATGCTGGATTGTTCATGTAACAGATCAAAAAGAGAGTGAAATGAAAAAAATTAATGATTCCAGGGGAATCATTAAAGGTAAACGACAAGAAACCCTGAAACTAGATCTCACACAAGTCAGTACTCATTGTCAAAGTTTATCCTTAATCTTGAAGGAATTAATAAATCATGTTGGATTGCAACTAGCTTCATAGATGCAGTTACTGCAATGGTATGATCGCATATAAAGATTAGTAAGTCATAAGAAAGATATAAAGTAATTTTAATCTCATGGTTTAAAGGAAGATAAACAGTACATACACCTGAATTTCTTAATTAAAAAGTACTAATGGAATGTATTAGTAGTAATTTTATTTCCCCAACAAAAAATACATGCATTAACTAGTACTGTAAAACTATGAATAAGTAATGGTCACATAAACAAGGAAAAGAACTTAACTGATACTTACCTGTCCAACGCAATAACACGACCTTCATAAACGGAGTTTAATATTTTCGATACAGATTCATCAATATAACCCTGTAAGAAATAGTGATTAATTTTAGTTTTAAGGGAATATATATATATATATTATCTTCAACAATGTAGAGAAGAAGGAAGCCCACCACTATTCGGTAGGTTTTTGTTTTCCATGAGTACAACTTGAAATGATGATTCACTCTTGATCGAATGATTTTAGTTCACAGATTGTTAAGTTATGTAATTACTTACGCATCCACTTTCGCTGACTATTAATAATTCTATTTTATGCTCTTTAATTGCCTAGGATAGAGAATACACCAAATGATCCGAATACATAGCTTGACAGCGGTATATGAACTGACAAGACGAGAGAGTTGAATGCTTGTCAACTAAAATATGTCAGCATAAACACTTAGTTGAAGAGTGTTATTTTGAACGTGTTTGAAATCCTTCTCATCAATATTATAACCCCAGGTCATTCATATTTGAAATCAATGTTCATGTATTGTGATTATTCATATATTTGTAAACCTGAGCTTTATACTATTATTGACATATCTATTTGTAATGAGTATTTCATTGAAACGGTTTAATTCATCTCTTATCATTATTATCAAGACTATAAATCCATCAGATTAGTAAAGGGTAACGTATAACTAACAATCAATTGATAGACATTATAATTTATCTTTCAAAGATATAACAACCATTTAGTAATTGATAACTTCAATCTATTTAAATATATCAATATCTTTACATATCTATTAATATAATAACTTAAACGTTGTTAAAAATGCCATAAACTATTTGTAAACTACCTTTTTTAATTTGTTATCTTTATAATCGTTTGATATTCACTATGTAAAATAATTGTTGCTGTCAAACCAAAGACTTATATTTTGCAATACTTGAGATCATGAGTCAGTTAAAGGTAGACCACCATGGAAACAACTGGAAGCACTAGACGACCGTTTCGTCCTGTTGTCGGACTCCTCAGCAGTGCACACCTACGGTCCCACCGCACAAGATTCGAACCCATTTTTTAAATTTTTTTTTAAAGGTATTTGAGAATTACTTGTGACAGCGTGACAGCACTGTATATACGTATATATACATATGTGCTTACATAATCATAAAACGAAATTATTAAACATCATTCAACTGGCTCATGTCAAAGAAGTAGCTAACTGAACACAGAAAAAGAAAGAGATTTTTCTTAGGAATTAAACTCATTATCTTATGTAATTAGGACGAATAGTTTGATAGAAAATGGATTCTGAGTATTGAGAAGTCATTATATGTGAAAATTATATTTGAAATAATCTCAGTAATTGAAATTTAAAATTATTTCAATGTTTCGTCCAACAAACCTATCTGAAATTCTTTAGGGTACCCGGAGATTATTTGAAATATAATCTGCACATATAATATCTTATGTAGTGTTTTATTTCAGAGTAAAACTTTGAGATGGTGGAGAAGATTTGTAGCTCAGGTGGATGATTTTGGTGGAGTTTTGTTCTCTGAGCTGTTTTCTGAGCTCAGAGAAGAAAACTCCACCAAAAGAGTAAAACTTTTGGTGGTCTAACATCAACTGGTTCATGATGTCAACCAAAAGCTTAATAATCTTCACAAACTCATACTGATAATTACCATGTCCTCACTAGCGACTAATTTCGTGAGAAAGTTCTCGGAGTTCTGGTGAGAAGCCGTGACCAGTGGAGCTAATCCGTGTCCGGTAGAGACAGATATCTACTTCAGTACAATGGGAGATGGTCACGCCATTCCGTGGATTGGTCGAGGTCAGACATTAACACTGATGGATGCCAGCCGCCTCAATGGTCTAAAGGTTAAGCGTTAGCACACAAGACCAAAGGCCCTGGGATTGAATCCCGCAAGGCGGGATCGTGGATTCGCACTACTGAGCAGTCCCACAATAGGACGAAACGGTCATCCAGTACTTTCAGGCTTTCAATAGTGGTCTAATATCAATCACTTCATGATCTAAATCAACAAATAGAATTTTTGGTTTTTACTTTTGTTACACACTACTCTTTATTCTAACTATAAATTTATTTTCCGAAAGAAAGAATAATAATAATAATAATAATAAACTTGATACAGTGACAACTGAAGTGGGAAAAAACTAGATATATTTTGTATGTTGTTTATGTGTAGTTCAGTTAGATGATTTTTGTTTTTTGATAAATTACATAAATTTCATTTGTTTTTAATCATACAAAGTATCACGTGAATAACAACAAAAAAAAGAGATGAAATTTATGTACTAATCTGTTATATCCGGATAAAGAATAAAGGAATGGTTAGTAGTAGAATCTATTTATGAACCGTTATTGTATATATAGGCTTATTGTATATGTATATATGTATATTTATATTCTTTTTATTATAGACTTCTATTTGATCTATTGATTACTACTATAAAATGAAATATTCTGAAATTGTTCTCAATCTATTAGTTAAAATCTTTCAAATTCACAAGCACTTTTAGCTTGATCTTGTATAATTGTTATTTTTTTATTTATGGTATGATATAGTCCGGTTTGTTTGTATATAAACTAAATATATCTGAAATATAAGATTCATTCGATGAAAGCTGAGGTGTGTATTAGGTGAGTTAGTCAGCTACAACGTAGGACTAAGCACTTATATACAACGGTTCAAATTGTCATACCACATTACCAAAACAAGATCAACACCAAATTCATAGAAGTAGTTAATTCAATGGTGGTAATATATAGAAGAAAAATTGCATATAAGGGTATAGTATAGGAAAAAAGAATTATTACGTAGAAAGAAAGATATGAATCGATTTTAATCTCATACTTTAAGGGAAGACAAAGAGTGTACACAACTACACCATTGTGATCGTTTCTGAGCCATGTCACTCAGAGTCTCCAATCATTGGTTACGATCGTCATGCAGATCACAACCAACATGGTTCAGACTAGAAATCAGTGATTTCAAGCACTGGTGTCATGTTTTGGTTGATTTGGCCTCCTATTTCCTAACACTAGTCAGCGTTGCTTGTCGTGGTAATCGGTGTTCAGGCATACGTAACACACGGCTCAACCATCTCAGTCGATGAAGATTCACAGCCTCAACTGTGTATTCTGTGATCAAACGGACAGGGCTAAACAAAAAAAACCCATTGAGTATTCAGAGTTGACTCTAGGCTACTTGTACAAGTTAACACATCATTGGTTTGGCACAGTATCAAGGTCATACAATTTGGTGTTGTGATTGTCTATCTTGTCATGTGATAATTAACAAGGCATAGAAACACAACATAATCAAAATGAAAACAAATTTTATTTTCATTTCGTTCATCATTATTGAAAACAAAATCATTTCATTTCATTTGATAAATTTGCTTCCAGGTTTTCAATTGTGATGGTCTAACATCAATTGGTTCAAGATCTCAATCAAAAACTTTAAAATATGTCATCAAATTTAATCAGATTTGACTACAGTAACTTAGTAATAATGATAGATAATTAAAATGAATATGAGAACAGTGAATAGACATTATTCTATCGAATTGTCTAATGATAACTTACCGAACCCCAATTTAATGCTCTAGCTAAATCATTTCCAGTACCTATTGGTAATACAGCAACTGGTGGTATTGTATTAAAATTCATTGAATCAATAGTAGAAAATATCCAACCAACTGTACCATCACCACCACATACTAGGATACGTAGATTTGGTACACGACTGAACAATTCTAAACTATAAATAAATTAAATGAAATAATAGTAGGTTTAATGAATTAAACAGAAATAATATCAATAGTTGAAATCATAATTCAAATGAAGCTAGATCACCATAGAAAACCTGGAAGCACTGGACAGCCGTTACGTTCTATTATGTGTCTGCTCATAATTGCGCATTCACGCTCCCGTCCCCCGGGAGATTCAGATTCAGGACCTAACAGCCTAGCGCGCGAGCGCTTAACAAAAACTTATTCATTTCTATGGGATGTAAAGAGGTAGGAATCGGCATATATACAATGAGATCATTCGCATATTTCACAAAAGTGTTTTTTGTGAAAGATGGCAGATCATGCATATATATATAAACATATGTATGCACAAATATCCCTTTCTAGCATATGTAAACATTACTTGCCAATATATTAGAAAATTTCTTTGTTTTAATGAACTTCATTAAAGAAGTATCAACTAACTATAAGAATGATAATTCACAAGAATTATAAACGAAGATGGATAGTGGTAGCTAACAATGGAAACCAAGACATGTATTTCGTTCTGTTTGGGACTCATCAGCTAGATATACTTGTATCTCAGAATTGATATTTACTCTAGGACTTGAATCAAGTACTGTTCGCTTCAAACGCCATTACATTATCCACTTAGCTACTGAATCCTGATAGCCACTTGATTATGCAATGAGGTAAAGTGTAAATTCATTTGATATTGTTTGTTTAAATCTTCCCATCAATGATTAACACTACAATTGATCAATCTCTTATTAGTATATGTGCATATTATACTTATTGCCTTAATTCACAATTACAGTCTTAATCATCAATAGGAAAATTTAAGTAAAAATAATACTAAGTGAATTGATAAGAAATTAATGTTAGAAATTGTTTTTTTTTGTTTCCAATACAACCAAATTAGGTAATTTCAAATTTATTGATTTATTTATTAATAAATTTACCCCATTTTTGGTCCACCTTTAGATAAATCAAATACTTGACGTGGATTTAATAACCATTGAAATTTTTTTAATAAATTTATACCTTGATTACCACCAGATTTTGGATTAAGAAATACTAATAATGGTTTTAAAGAAACATTATTGATTGGATTTGTTTTAATTACAAATGATAAATTTGATTGATTATTAATAATATTGAATTGATTCATTGAAATAGATTGTTTATTTTCATTATTTGTTATTATAGATGTCATAGAAGTTAATTGTTCTGATATATTATGCATTAATTGATTTGAATCATTAAGATTATCTGGACGAGAATATGAAGAACGAATTGAAGATGAATTTAATTTATAATTTGTTAAACATGAAGGTGTAACAAAACTATTTGATCGACATATTGATATAGATGTTAATGGTGTTGATGTTGATGATGATGGAGAAGAGGATAATTTGTGATTATTCTTGAAAATAAATATAAATAATTAAGAGTATAATGATGATAAGAAATAATAAAGAAAATATAGGAATATAAAATTATTTCAATAGTTGAAATTATGAGTCAATTGAAGTTAGGTCACCACGGAAAATCTGGAAGCACCAGATAACTGTCTCGTCCTAGTATGGAACTCCTCCCTGGCAATGCGCATCCACGATCCCCATGCGAGACTCAAACCCAGGATCTATCAGTCTCGCGCGCGAGCAATTAACCATTAGACCAATGTGCCGGCTTGCATCCAACGATGTTACTGTCTTACTTCAACCAATCCAGGAAATTGATCGTTACATTCACCATTGTCTTCAGTGAGTTACTATCTCACAACAGACCTGGTTGAACTCCACTGGTCACTACTTCTCATCAGAACTCCAGGAAATGCCTCTTGAAGAACTTAAACTGTAATGCGATTAGGTATGATTAGTTCATGAATATAGTTATGAAAATTCTGTAAGACTATAATGTATGGACACACCAATCAGGTATGAGATAACAGCTCTCGGATTTGGCGCGAAATTCACTCATCCATTAGGATCAAAGATTTTTGGTATTATAGCTGATATTAGTTCGTGATAAAAACCCTAAATCTAATTTATAACCTTAACTATCATAATTCAAAGTCCTCACACAGGTTCATAACCCTCATTTGGTCCTAGTTATTAGGTTGCCACTATATAGGTCATTCCAGCATCGTTCAAAAATCGTCCATAAATTATAGTCTCACCGAAAATTCTATAAGCTCTCTATTCTATACGAATGTATGTTTGTTAAATGGCTGAAATGATATTTAACAAGGCATTATGCAGAAGTGATAACTAAGTTATTTAATGAAGCTGATATTTCATTTCGCCATTGAAAATATACCTTAGAACATCGCTTAAACGACGTAAATAATGGACCTTATTATTTGTATTCATTAACAGAAAAAAAAACTAATTGGTGTATTGATTCGATTTGGTGGTTATTGATATACACTGAGCAGTAGTCATGAATGAACTGATACTCATTGCAGAATTCCAAGATACGTTATCTATCATCTCATCTAAATACAATATTAGTCAGTTATCTATGTTATAGACAACTTTCTCAGTGTAATATTCAAAATATAGTCATGATATCACAACTTATAAATAAATATATAACAATGAATGTGTATGTCATTTAATGTATTTATTATCAGTATAAGGTTGAGGAGATTATAAAGTTTTTCGATTAAGATGATGAATTGATTAATGTTAGATCATCATTGTAAATCTGGAAACACTGGACGGTCGTTTCGTCCTATTATAGGACTCCTAATCAGTGCACCTCCACTATCACGCTCGCGGGATTGGTATTTATTGTTTGAATGATATAGATACCTAGTCAACTGTTAAAATGAGAGCTATAAGGTCTAATTTTTAAAAAAACAACGTTTGTGTAATGATGCCCATAAATGTCGTAATCACATTCATAATGAAATCTAATAAATAAGAAGATACTCCTTAAATCCTATTTGCTAATTAAAGAACAACTTAATCCGTCTAGATATATTACTAACATTCTTATGGGTAGAAAATTAAATTTACGATGTTTCTTATCTTAGTGTAAACCGCTTCTTCACAGGATAAATAAAAATAAATGAATTAAATTAATACAAGTTTAAATAGTACAAATTTCGTTTATAGCTTTTAGCCGCTTAGTATCTCGTTCCAGTTACATCGTAACCTGATTGTTATTGAACTATACATGACACCAATTCACGTATATTTTCATCAACTTAAATTGTATTAATGAATAACGAAATTAAATAGGTTAAAAAAGATAATTAAGTTTGGATACGTATGTTTTGTACAATCACTGGTCTGAACAGACAATAACAGAAACGAAAAGGAGAGAAGAAAGCGAAACGGATTGGAAAAGGCATGTGAGCCAACTCAATTTAATCAAGCGTGACTCAAACAAAAATAAGTGAAACACGTGATGAATAGGATAGGTAGTTAGTATATATGTGTTTATATTAAAACAGTCAAGATTAATAAGCGAGTACGTGACAAGGTCACAATGTGGTTTTGGAAAATTGTGTCCAGAAACTAGAATAACCTATATGGACTTAATATAGAATTAGACAATATAAGCTCTGCTAGAGTTACTGCCGTTTCCAAGCCTTGGTAAACGAGGTGTTTTAGGTATCCGGTCAGCAATTCATCCCAGGTCCTTCTGTTTCGCGCGCGAATGCTTAACTTTCAAACCACTAAGTCAGTATCCAATGTTGTTATTATTTAACTTCATTCGATTCATGATCTTGCTTAACTCTCCATTCATTGTCTAAGGTAGATAACTATCTTGTGCTCAATACAGATTGTACTCCACAAGTCACAACTCATAGTTATCTAATTATATTTATAGAGTATAATAAATCGATTTCTAAGGGCTGCAATTAAACGCAACTCGATCTCGTAAACGTGGCTGCCTGCTTAGCGACCAATCAGAATGAAGCGGGATTTATTACATCCGCCATCTTTGTAAGCAATGGCGGTTGGCTTTCCTCGTTCTGTTTTTTTTTCAGCTATTTCTTTTGTGTAGCTGCATAATTTAATGTTTCAGTGTGCTAAAATGCCGCAGTTATTGTAATATTCTAAATGTTGGCGCAAATTTTCTTAGATTCAACATTGTTATCTGGGTTTTTAACTGCTGCTACTCAAGTTAATGTACTTCATCAGGCAAGTTGGTTAGTCTTATATTATAAAATGTTAATCTGTTTTGCTTTGAGTATTTTTTTCAGATATGGAGAACAGAAGTTAGTTTCTTTTTTTTTTTAGCTAAAATAGGTGTTGCTTCCGCATGGGACTCTAACTGTCTGGTTATTTAATAACAAAAAAATACATTATAAAATGACAAGTTCTATGATTACATGAACGCAGATATGACCGTTATTACATTAGGCAATACATTAGGTTTACATGTAAACGTTGCGGATAAATTCACTCTTTCTAAATGTTTATTAAAAAATATTGATTGTTCACAATAGTTCTCAAATAGTCTATTGTTTCTTGATAATTTTTTGTAAAAAAAAACAAAAACAAAAATGAATATTAATAATGTTCAGTTCTGTATGAGTTACATAAAGTTGTAGAAATGAATTTTAATACATTCACTAGTATCATTTACATGTTAAAAGTTAGTTACAGTTAAAATATGCGAAATAATGTCGACTGTTTTCTTCTTATTTTTAGATATTTAAAAAAACAAAACAAACGAAACAACATGAGACTCATTAGAAAATTATTGGCTAATTTTAGCGGGATCATGGATGCGCACTGCTGTGGAGTCTCACAATAGAATGAAATGGCCGTCCAGTGCTTTCAAGTTTTCAATGGTAATCTAGTTTCAATTGACTCATGATTTCAACTATTGTAATTTTAGCTTGTTCATTATATAATCGTATCTAATTATATTTGTGGTGTTTGCTACTTATATTGATATAAGTAGTATATGACACGAGTTAAAAACGTTATGTCTGGCAGCAGAAGATGGGAGAAGGTCAAGAAAGGAAGAGCGGGAACACAGTGCAATTTGTAAGAATATGCATGAACAATGAAATGTGAGACAATGGATTGATGTTTGCAACAGGAACAGTATTTGTCCCATCCATGTTCTGTTCATTACATATTCATTTTTTATTCATTTAAAAGTCATTTTTATTAATAAGCTGATATTTTTAGTCCATTATAAAAATATACTATAAATTATATACTGTTTCTATGACAAGAAAAAGTAATAATTAACGATTTAATACAAGTGTTGTATATGCTACTTAATTTGACAGATATAAGTAGTATGCAATACTAATTGGAAGTGAAAACTTGACAGCAAAAAAGCTATGAAAGTTGATTTGAATAAAATAGAAACGAAATTAGAAAGGAATTAATTGTAAATTAAAAGAACCATACAAAATCTGAAAGACAAATGATGGAAATCTGTAAACGAAGCATTCAAAGTACACTGCTCATATTTTACTAACAGACTATGTAATTTTGCATTAAGGTACAATGAATTAATTTCTCTCTCGCAACATAAGTAGCGGATATTTAGGTGAGAAAAATGAGTAAAATCATCTTGCGTAATAAAACCCAATGAAATCTTTGATATGATACGTAATGACATCGTTAAAACCTGGAAACACTGGACGGCCGTTTCGTCCTATTATGGGACTCCTCAACAATGCGTATTCACGACCCCACCTCGTGGGATTCGAACCCAAGACCTACTGTATTTCTGATGTTTCGTAATTTAGTGTAAATCACTTCTTCAGTGTGAATAAATAATTAACTTTTTATACAATGCTCAATTTATTTGAAACTATCAAGTCTAAGCATGTCATTAATATCGCATAAATTCTTCGTTCAAATTTTATTAAACGAGAAAACACATGAGGACAATCGAATGTATGTCGATACAAAATTATAGAATCACTAAGTAAAATCTGAGAACCATTCAGTAAATATTTCATATGCAAAAAAGTTATTCAATTGTCTTAGACTCCATTTTTCTTTCGTTTCTACACCAATCATTCTCCGTTCTCCTTTTTTTCGATCTTCTTAACATTTTTCATCAGGCATTTCACTTCCGATTGATGATATATACTACTTATATCTGTTGAGATCAGTAGCACATACCATAATATTATCTCTGTTTTAAAACGATAATTCATCAATAAGACATAAATAACAATTGATTGATCACTGGGTGGTGATCAATGTCTTGCTTGTCTAGTCCTTATTAGTGCAGATCGAATGCTATCGATCATGTTGCAATGTGGCCACCAGTCTAGGTGACTCGACACTGCGGGCACTATGTATTGAGATTTAGATGGTGGTTGGAGGTAGTCAACAGGAAACCCTGGACCCGGGTTTCGTGCTATTTGGCACTCGTCAGCAAGGTGTACCTGTAATCTTGAGGGAACTGGTGCCCCCTGGCGGATTTGATCTCGTGTCACCCAGCTTCACAGTCAGAGACGTTACCACTGAGCTATCCGAGCCGTGACTAACCTCCTGTAGGACTGAGATGTAATCATTACATCTCATCTCTCATGACACGAGATCGAATCCGCCAGGGGGCACCAGTTTCCTCAAGATTACAGGTACACCTTGCTGACGAGTGCCAAATAGCACGAAACCCGGGTCCAGGGTTTCCTGTTGACTACCTCCAACCACCATCTAAAGACATAAATCAATACCAGAACTGACTATCAATTCTTTTTGTAATCAATAAGTGTACACTACCAAAATGTACATGTACAGAGAATAACTGTATTTTATCTTAATACTTTTTTAAGGTAAAACAGGTTACTTTTATAGATATGATTTATCAACAACAACAAAAACCAAACAAACAAAGACAAAAAAAAGTGAGAAGTCAAGTATTAATTTACCGAATTGATAAATCATATTAGTTTAGAAGAAAAAATAAACGTTATCATTAGTCTAAGGGTTATTTCTTTATATGAGACGAAATTACCAAAGGTAATGACCATGAAAATACATCAATAAAAATAAAAGTTAGTTGTTTATTATTCATAAATTAATTTGATTTTAATTGCTTCTATATAACCTAGTTTACTTCGATTGATAATATCATCTAGTGTAGGAGTAGAAGTAATCTGAAAGAAAACTAATGGCGGTCGAAATGAAAAACATACAATCAGATCATGAAGTCATTGACTATTGGATTGAGCCATGCTAATAGGTGTAGACTACCTGATTGATTAGACAAGTCAACCGTGAGAATTGTACAGTTGAACTGGTAAGTTATAAGGTAAGAAATTATTAGTGTGTTACTTCACATCTCAATAATTGAAGTGCGTTTTATGAAAAATGTACTGCTATCATTGATATTGTTATAATTAGTTATTATCTCCAGTAACTAGAAAAAATTCTAAGACAGTTCAGACTGCCCAGAGACTGGAAAGACGCGACAATAAGTCAGGTGTATAAGGCTGGGAGTAGAGATTTAGATAGTAACTATAGACCCATTAGCTTAACTAGTGCGGTTATAAGACTGATGGTAAAAATCATTCGGATATCTGTCATAAACTATGTTGAAGGGTATAATCTTTTCTCTAGGGAACAAAATGGTTTTCGGAGAGGCCTATCATGCTTGATAAATTTTCTCATTGCAAGAGAAGATTGGACTGCTGCAAAAGATCGGAATATTCCTGTAGATGTGATCTTCATAGATCTAAGTAAGGCCTTCGATAAGGTCATCCATTCTGGTCTTAAATTCAAACTGGGACGGTTTGGAATCCATTATACAGTCGTAGGTTAGATGAGTAACTTTCGCCATGACAGGAGACAAAGGGTAAGGGTTAATGGATCTCTCTCCTCGTGGGTACCTATAAAAAATGGAGTTTCTCAAGGTACAACCCTCAGTCCTCTCCTCTTTGTACTTTATGTAAATGAATTACCAACTGTAGCAAAATCATCCGTTCTACCCATCACTGATGATATAAAAATCTAGAAGTAAATCCTAATAATACTGTGGTGATCCAATTAACTAATCATGATGAATCGTATTACTATACAATATATGGATTCGTGATACCCAAAGTAAGAAACTATAAAGATTTAGGAGTCATATTAAGCAGTGATCTCAAAACCACTAGTCACTGTAAGGCTGCTGTTGTGAAAGCCTATAGGGTATTATAGTCAATTCGTAGGTCTTTCCAGTATTTAGATGATGAAATGTTTAAATTATTATACGCGATTCATGTGCGACCACATTTAGAATATGGGATTCAAGCAGAAAGTCCTTGTTTCAAGTATGAAGCAGATATGCTGGAAAGAGTCCAACGACGAGGTACTAAGATGGTACAAGGTTTATCTGGCCTATCTTATGAAGACAGACAGAGACACCTTAACTTATTTCCGTTACCTTACCGTAGAATACGGGGTGACCCAATATTGGCTTATCGTATACTGAAGGATGACCTTAATATTAATATGTCTTATTTTTTACTTCCGTCTAGAACTGATCATTTTAGAGGACATTCGAAGAAAGTTCAAAAACTGAAATCAAATTGTTTACGTCTAGAGTTTCGTTTCTCATACCGAGTAGTAAATTACTGGAATTCTCTACCAGAACATCTATTATGAGCACCTTCTGTTCATATATTCAAAACGAGATAGGACCTCCACAGTATTACAAACTGCAAGGATTAATATAGGTCGATAGACCTCCCATCCTTATTACTGAAGGCTGAAAACTAAAGACAATGTATTTTTCATTCCCATGATTTATTTTATGATTATACTTATTTCACTTTGACACCCTACTCTAAATATTTATGAATGGTCTTTTTAATTTACAAGTGACACATTTTTGAGATATTTATTCTGTAACAGAAGCAAAAGTTCACTTCTTTGAAATTACACTATCTAACTCACTAGCATGATTTATTCTGACTTCATACGACAACTATCAAACCTGTTTACAAAGTTAATAAATACAGTTGTTTGTTCTAATTTTCTTTGTTTTCAAATTATCATAATCATGATATGACTGATCTACAAACGTGGAACGTAATACTTATTTCGATATAAGTAGTATATAACGATAGTCATGAATATAATATCTGGCAGTAGAAGCTCAAGAAGATCGAAAAGGAAAGAATGGGAACAGAAAGCAATTAGTTTAAAAATAAGAGACCAATGAAGTCAACCAATTTTAAGACGATTGATTGACAATTCGCAAATTAAGTATTTACTGTATCGTTCTTAAATTTTACTAAGAGATTCTGTAATTTTATATTTGAATACATCCAATTGCTACCAAAAGGAGTTTTCAGGAACGTTATGGTGATTTTAATAGTTGAGATCACTAGTCAACTGAACCTAGACCACCATGGAAAACCTGGAAGCAACCATTCGATACTGGCTCAGTAGTCTAGTGATTTAGCGATCACGCACGAGACTGATAGGTCCTGAGTTTAAAATCTCACGAGGCAAGGTCATGGATACTCACTATTGAGAAGTCCCACAATAGAACTAAACGGTCGTCCAATGCTTCCGAGTTTCTCATAGTGGTCTAACTTCAATTCACTTATAATCTCAACTATTCAAAAAAAGATATTCGATTGTCTTCAATTGTATTCTCGTTTACTAAACAAATACTATTGACATATCAATTTCAGTTTTCATATTTCCACTTGTTATACAACATGGAGTTTTGAGATGGTGAAGATTTGTAGGTCAAATGGATGATTTTGATGGAGTTTTGTTGTAACCAATTGATAATATTATTTCTAGCATGTAACTAATGAATCTGTATATATATGTAAAATAAAAACTTACTCTATCAGTTAATTTAATAATCCAATCAGGTGGAACAATTAAATTTGAATATGGTCCTAATGAACATGGTTCAGTGAAATATGATTCATGAAAACAAGTTGATTTATTATGATAACCTATTTTACACCAAGTGCATTGAATCGTTATATATTCCTAATGAAATAAATTGAAAATAGATAAAAAGGAAAAAAAGGTGAATTTTACAAATGAAAAATAAAAAAAAAACTTTTGGTTTGTAAATTTACGTACTAACATAAACCTTTCAAATGCTGAGGAGTCTCATACTAGGACGAATTGACCGTCCAGTACTTCTAGGTTTTTCATGATGATCTAGCTTCAAATGATTCATGATTTCAATTGTTGATATGAGAAGATATAGATGATGATTTGTAATTCAGGTATATACTATTGATATTGTTCAGTTCATTAGTTTAAATGACTTAATTAGTGAGTTTACACTGTTATTCTTAACAATATTATCATTAATTAATTGATGTAAAAGTAAATTTTTTAATTGTCTCATAAATATTAAGTTAGTTTGTTGTAATGATGAGTTTCGTGGCCGGTTATCATTATAGTTTGGCTTACCTTCGGTTGTTGTTTTTTTTATCAAAGTGGATTACCCTGTTCCATTTGTCATTGACCATCATTTTGATTGATCTTTTCGAATGGTTTGTGTTGTGGACGATAGATCCCCAAAGCTCATATTTTGTGATTTTATCTTATTGATTAACTTATCGATTAAATGTTTAATCATTTGAATGGCAGTCGATTGATGAACTTATTGAGTAATGTTTAAAAAATTTGTATCATGAAAATATCGATTATAAATAATTGTATAAATACGCTTGATTTGTGTGCCTGATTGACCTGACCTAGTATCTACTGGTTGTCTGTAGAATACACTTTTACGTCTTACCAAGACTTCTTGATTGAGTTATCTGAGTCGGGGACAACGGGCTAGAATAGCCTATCGAGTCTCTGAATCATTGGTCCTTCGTTCCGTTCCGAATAAGTCAAATCAGTAGTGTCATTCAAGCTTAACGAACCTAACACTTTGATAGATTGAATCTAATTAGATGTACATACTGATTACTAATAGATCTTGATATCAAGCTTCCAGGTATTATCTGGCCTAGTTGCAGGATTTTGACGTCTTCTCAGTTGAATTTATGTCTGTAGTCAGTTACATCAGTTGCCATAGGTGATAACATATCGTGTCGTTTCACCAATATATTTTATTTGTATATGCGTAAATAAACAGGTCATCTACTTTTTCTAATGTAATGTTTACCATAGTTCACACAAGTTTTTTTTTGTAGGCTATTTTACATTTGTCTTTCTTTATTGTTGTGTCTTTTGGTCAAGTTTAAAATTTATAAACAAAATTGACTCTGAAAGGTTTTGAAGTTAATGAGATGGATCCTCAAATATTAAGTAAGATTATCCGTTTTCCTATTTCTGAGGTTGATTTTTCGATTTTTGGTAGATTCGAAAGAAAAAAAAACTTTAATTAACTTGTTGAGGCAATTATATCTACGAAAGATAGATACAAGATGAGTTTCTTAAACGTTGATGTATAGCTAGGGCATTTATTTGAATTACATCGGCATATAACTCTTCATGTGTATTTCTGGGTTGTTATTGTTGTAATTGAATATTTGATTAGCTAAAACATTTCAATAATTACTTGGTCCTCATATAACCACTCTCGTTTTGTTTATAACAGGATCTTAATATTATTCATTTATTGTTGAATACAATCAGTTAGATAATCCAATTCACTTAGTAGTGTATATTCACGGTCTTGTCTCACAAGAATCGAACCAATTTAATTACCATAATATCTACAAAACCCCTTTCTGATTAGAACTTATTACCAGTTAACGTTCACAGTTGAGATTGTTTGTAGATTATCGAGAGAGAGAGAGAAATCATCTCGTAAAACTCTTTAGATATGAATTATATGTTTTCATTGATTTTGTATTATTATTATTATTATTTCGTATATTGAATAATAATTTTTTCTGGTTAGCGTTTCTTTAGAAAGTTAGTTTTCTACGGGATGGGATCGCTAACCCCATGCTCAACCCTCCTCCTTTATCCGGGCTTGGGACCGGTAGTAGCTTCCGGAAGGACTACAAGCGGAGTTGTATGTTAGTTATAAGCTCAACTAGAATAAGAAATAAGGCAAATACGGTTTGATAATGATTTCATTATGTGAATATATATTGATGATTAGTTTTTTCATGATTAACTAATATAAACTATACAGTCATCTACATTTAAGAAGTTATGTACAACTATTTTGTGTTTTCTTAATAATTACATATAGACCTAATCTTAATTTAATAAATGAAGCCTACTTGAATATCTGGGCTATCTGTTCCTGTCATCTAGATATTTCAACACGTTTTCTGTTTCTTTTTTTTGTTTTAACACATCGTTATGTCAGTTCATTGCACAACCTATTTAGAAAAGTTTATGAAAAATTCACGACTTTTCACTGTACAATTTAGAAAAGAGAATAATCAGCGATATTGTGATCGCTGGCAGTATACATCGAAATGAATGTACATTATTCAGATGTCGATTCGTGTACTGTTAATGTTTAATTGGCGATCACTCAATATTTATCGTCAGGATCGACCATGAAGTAAGAAAAGGAAACTTGTTGAAATAGTTTGCGCTGAGAATTCTATATTGTGCCAAAACTTTAATACTGAATAAAGCCAATAATAAATAAATGGATAGAAATCATAAATCTAAAACATTCCAACTATCATATTACAAAACTAATCTTCTTAAATAATCTTTCATTGTTGATCGTACGAAAGAATAATTCAATTAATTGATTAATCTAAAATAACAGATATACTGATCATTTTACGACAAAGTAATTGTGAATAAAATTCATAGTATCTTATTTATTGAAAGAGTCGATTTCGAAGCATAAACAATTTCAATGGTTGAGATCACGAGTCAATTAATGCTAGATCACTATAGAACACCTGAAAGCACTGAGCGATTATTTCGTCCTATTGTAGGACTCCTCAGCAGTGCGCGACCACGATCCCACCCCTCGCGTGGTTTGAACCAATGACCTACAAGTCTCTCGCGTGAGTGCTCAACCTCTAAGCCACTGAACTACGAAATTGAGCAAAACATCGACCATATTTGTTTGTTTTTTTTACAAAATATTTTCAGATGATAAACAACATCGAAGATAATATTACTCACTTTAGAAGAAAATCCCAGTATTGATTGTAAAGACTAAAAAAGAAATCAATATAAAGTAGAATGGTATCAAAATCAATAATAGAAAACAATCTATTTATTATTATTATTCTTAAAGTAAAAAAGTAATTCTCTGTAACGAAATTGTGAAATGAGTTGTGTTTATATTCCCCATTGTCTATCTATACATTTTGGATAAAGTTTTGAGAAACATCCACATACATACAAACATACACAATTCCAATGACAATAGTACCATAATTAATATAGTAATAACAACCCTAACCAACAACAACTCCAGTATTGAAAACTAAACAAACAACCTAAATAGGGATAAACAAGGGTTAAAAACCGAAAACAAACGCATTCAACTTCTTCACAAATATAGAAATGTATACATACATCAAACTAGATATGTATGTTTTTATAAAGAAATAAGACAATTCTCTCTCAATTTATTTCACGATTTATCTATTACGTAGTTAAGCAATAAATACTTGAAGCAATGACGTATGATGAAGTGAAACATAAGTATAGTGTATTTTATTGAAATGATGTATATCGATAAAAATTTAATGACTAATGGTAAACTATGCATTTATGTATTTCTCTATCCTTCTGACAACCAGAGCAACCATTTATTTAGGTACATAGAATGTTCATAGAATGTGGAAGACCGGAAGAGTCTTCCAAATTGCAGAATTGCTGCTATCCACATTTATCACAATGATTAGAAACTAATAAAATGGATAAAAAAGGAAACAAAATGATTTAGTAACAATAATAATGAGAAAGACTAAACAGTAAGACTGGTTCATAACCGATAGAATGAATAAGGCATCTAGGAAGGACTATTGGGACTCAAGGTCTTAAGAAAGAGTGACAGCATGTGAACCATTGTGAAAAATCTTAAAAATTTGTTAACTGAAGTCTCCAATTACCCAAACAGATAGTCTACATTTATCAACATAGTCAAGACCATCAGTCACTGACTTCCTAGACTGATGATATGTGCTAATTTGAACGTCTTAAGTTTTATTTCAACCTAAATTAACAAACATCATTCATCGAGGTAAGCGATGGTTTGATAAATACATAGCTCCACCCCAAGTATACTTTCTAACCATGTTCTAAAGTCTGTCTTATCAAATTACATAGTTCGAAAGAACAAAGAATAAATATAAATTTGAAGATCTATAATCATATTGTGGTGTGTATTACTAATGTTCACAGATATAAGTAGTATACAACACCAATCAGATATGGAATAGTTAGCAACAAAAGTTTGAGAAGATTGAATCAATGAGAACAGGAACAGATAGTAAATGTTATGGAAATAAATGAACAATGATCATTCAGACAACTGATTAAAGATTTTCAAATAAAGCATTGAATATATGGTTTTCATGTTTTACCAAAGAACTCTATGATTTTGCTTTGATATACATTGGTTGTTACCGCTTGTATTCTCGTTTATAGCAATGAGAAAGATTCCGTAAGACAGTAATTTAGTAAAATGGTCAAAGTTCTATATTAAAATCAAAAGATTATTTGTATTCACAATGATATTCTGAATCATTTCAGCTTTGAAACCTTTTTTAAAATATAAGTAATGAATAAAATAAACAATGATAAATTAATAACAATAATGAATAGAAGAAACTGAACCCGAAAAAAACACAACAAAAATCATACCTTTCCACAATGGTTACATTTTTTATTTTGTTTTCGTCGTTTAACCCAATGATGTGTCGTATACTTCAGGAGGATTATAAAACAAAAAGAGAAAATTTAACGGTAATCAATTTAAACGGTATATACATATATACATTAGATAGATAGATAGATAGATGGATAGATAGATAGATAGATCGACTTAGAATACGCAGATGACATAGTCCTGTTTGGTTAAGACGCTGACGAAATGCAGAGTCTTTTGGTAGCACTAAGCAACAATGCCAGGATGTTTGGAATGCGCTTCTCTCCCTCTAAATGCAAGTTGTTGCTTCAGGACTGGTCTGTGTTAACACCTGAACTAAGGATAGGGAGTGAAGTAGTCGAACGCGTTGACAACTTCACTTATCTTGGAAGTCTGATCAGCCCTAATGGGTTGGTATCGGACGAAATCTCAGCACGGATTCGACAAGCTCGTTTGGCTTTTGCCAACTTACGTCACCTTTGGCGAAGGCGAGATATCCGTCTATCAATAAAAGGACGAGTATACTGCGCGGTGGTCCGTTCTGTTTTACTTTACAGCAGCGAAACATGGCCTTTAAGAGTAGAAGACACTCGTACGCTACTAGTATTTGACCACATATGCCTTAAAAATATTGCTAGCTTCTGCTGGGATCGCCGGGTAAGTAATAGTGAGGTTAGACGCAGGGTATTAGGAAATGATGGTAAATCAGTTGATGAGGTTAAGAATCTTCATCGACTGAGATGGTTGGGCCACGTGCTACGTATGCCTGAACACCGATTACCACGACGTGCAATGCTATCCGGTATTGGAAATGGTTGGAAGAAAGTTAGGGGCGGCCAAACCAAAACGTGGCATCAGTGCTTGAAGTCACTAACCTCTAGTCTGAGCCATGTTAGGAGATGCAGACTACTTGGTTGAGGTCCGCGTGACTATCGTAACCAATGGTTGGAGACTCTTGGTGACATGGCTCAGAATCGATCACAATGGCGTCGGTGTATACACTCCCTGTCTTCCCTTAAACTAAGAGATTAAAATCGCTTCATATCTTTCTTTCTACGAACCAATTCTTTCTTCTTGTACTATATCTCTATATGCAATCTTTCTCTTATATATTACCACCTTTTACCTAACCGCTGTCATGATTCCGGTGTTCATCTTGTTGTGCTGATGCGGTATGGCAACCTGGACCGATGCACATATGTGCCTGGTCCTACGTTGTAGCTGACTGACTGACTGAGATAGATAGATAGATAAGTAGATAGATAGATAGATAGATAGATAGATAGATAGATAGATAGATACATAAGTAGATAGATAGATATTATTTACGCTTTATTAAGGTAATATTGGATTTATACATAAAAAGAGACCAATAAACAAATTAACACTAAATTGGTCAAACATTGCTGTCCTTAAAGGTTAAATGAATAATTGCAAAGCAAATTATCACTGTAAATGAAGAATTAGACAACAACAATAACATTAGACATTGTTAGCTTTAAATCTATTTAGTTATTATTTATTTAAATGAACTGTAATTATGTTAAAATCTATTTAAAGTTTGATGTTTACTTTGATAAATCAATGAAATACTTACTTAAACAAATGATTTAAAGTTGAAAGATAATTAGTTTAATTATGATTGAATACAAGAATTGTGGAATATAGTGTAATGCCACATTTTAGGGGGGATATAAAAGTAACATGTGTATTAATAATGGAATTCATGAGTCAATTAAAGTTAGACCGCCATGGAAAACCTGGAAGAATTGGACGGCTGTTTCGTCCTATTGTGGAGCTCCTCAGTAGTGCGCATCCACGATCCCGCACCCCGCAAGATTCGGACCCAGGACTTATCAGTCTCGCGCCAGGCGCTTAACCAACTAAACCACTGAGCCGGCATCTAATGGTGTTAATGTCTAACTTCAACTAATCCACGAAATTGAGCAAGACATTCACCATTGTCTTAAGTGAGTTACTATCTCACGATAGACCCGGTTGAATCCTATTGGTCACGGCTTTTCACTAAACTCCATAAAATAATTCTTGGAGACAGTCACTAGTGAACAAACGGTTGTCTAGTGCTTCCAACTTTTCTATGGTGGTCTGGCTTCAATTTACTCATGAATGCAATTATTAAATTATTAAAATCCCCACAAAACCCCTCTTCGATTATAATCGTCATAGTATGTATTTGTTGGAATCCTCCAAAAGTATCTCATTAACGTCTCCAGAAATGCAGAAAATGTTAGGAATTTTTTATTCTATTAACATTGAAAAAGATTTCTCAGAAATATTCAGAGTAATGAATGATTATACGTCAAATCATAACTGGATAATTACTTATTTGTTGCTAAGAATAACATATTTCCAGAAGCTTCTATATGGTTAAGGCCATTTGTAAACCTACAAATAAGTTTATTTTGTATGCATAAATTATGCTTCAAATAATGTTTCCATTCCTATTCCTCAAGTTTTCTTTAATATTCGGTTCATATATAGGAATGGCGTGGGGGTATAGACAGTGAGTAAGCAATCAGTAGAGGTATGTTAGAATCCAAAATTACACACGGAATTGAACTCAAAACCTACTGGCTACATAGTATTCATGTTATCTTTAGATCATCGAGTTTAATGTTGGTGATTCAAATTTTTAACCTTAGACAATTTCCAAGATAGATCGGAGATTATTCAATAGAATGGCTGATAAATATTTTATTTCGAATAATGATGATCTCTATGAACTACAGTAAGTCAATGAAACATCAAGATTACATTTCAAAGCTAGCAACTACTAAATAAAGTAATAGTAACTGAAAAGTTATTATCTTATAAATCTGTGTCTATTTTGATCTGTAATTAACCTAAAACCCATTTTTATGGAAATAAACATTACTCAGGTGATAGTTATTAAGATATAATACTTAAGTATGCAATATATTTTTATATCTTCCTTGTGCGAGAGACTGATAGGTCCTAGGTTCAAATCGTGGATGCGCACTACTGAGGAGTCTCACAATAGGACGAAATGGCTATTTAGAGCTTCCAGATTTTCCATGGTTGTCTAGCTACAATTAACTCATGATCTCAACTATTAAAATTATTACAATCTCCAAAAAAGCGCTCTCTGATTCAAATAGAAAATAGTAACATTTATGATTGATTTTCAGTTGGAGTTAATCACATTTACAACAATGATAACAATAGTAGATAAAGAGATTAAGTATTACTGTTTAAATGAGAATATGTAAACAATTAATTTTTATAAAAATATCATTCGACTTTTATGATTCAAATATACTATAAATTCAATCACAATGTTCACTATACAATTATAATGATGATGTAAACAAATAGGGAATAATAATCTTGATAAACATAATCTGTTTATTATTTATAGGAGGAACAATGAATGTCAAGTTAATAAACTTTAGAACTAGAATGTATTTGACAATTGTACTATTATAACTGATAAATCATTGTGTTGTATATGAATGAAAATAAGTTTTATTTTTTCATAAAAAAGAAACACTACTTACAAAAGGTAATTGATAATATATTGATTGTTTGTTTTGTTTTATTGTTTAGTAAACACTTGAAATAGTTTGTTTTCATTTCATCTCTTATAAGAACGGATGTTTACATTATGCATAGTGTTGTGATGAGTAGTGTCAAAAATTTGATTTTGATACATGATGTACTACACACTAACCACTATCCCCACTCAATTGACTAATTGAGTGAGAAAACAAGAATGCGCGAGAAAGTATATTGGGTTAACGAATAAAATAAACAAATTCATAATATGTACCACTCTAATCCTTAGAAAATTGATCGATTTGTTAGTTTATGAAATATACTTGTCATTTAGGTCACTGCTGAATAATTGACCTTTTGATTGACTCTCCATATTAATTAGCAATAATAATTCACTAGTGTATAATTCAGTAATATATTGACAAAGTATATATGTGATCAGATTGTTCAAAATTTTGTGATGTAAATACATCACATTTTTCTTTAGATTAACTTCATCTTCTTATTCTTCTATCGAAATTTATCAAATAAATTAATAACTTTAAATTCTCACAAATTGAAATCATGAGTCAGTTGAAGCTAGACCACCATTGAAAACGTGGAAGCCCTGGACGGCCGTTTCGTCCTAGTATGGGACTCCTCAGCAGTGCGCATCCACGACCCCGCACCACTCGCGGCTTGAACCTAAAAATCTCCACAAAACACATTCTGATAACTTTAAATTCATTCATAGCTGTGAGTGGAAAATTTAAGGCTGATATCAAAAAGATACAAATGCTTAAGCAAATATGTTTGTATTTATGTGAATACATAATGTAAACAGAAACTAGTTTCATATTTGAATGATCAGTGGGTGGTGATCAATGTCATGTATGTCAATGCCTTATTAGTACAGATCGAATATTATCGTCCAAGTACCAATGTGGCCACTAGTCTATGTGATTCGACATTGAGTGCACTATATTGAGATAAGATGGTGGTTGAAGGTAGTCAACCTGGAAACCCTGGACCCAGGTTCTGTGATGTATAGAAGTTTTTTCTATGTAGTTCTTCACAGTGTCAGTGTATCCTGTGAAGAATACACGTCAATTTAAAAAACACACAACAACAAATGAACTGATGTGAGAATGATTGATGTTATTGTAAATATTATGGAAATGAGTAACATTTAAACAGGTAAAAATACGTTTGATTGGAATCATGAGTCCATTGAAACTAGACCGCCATGGAAAATCTAGAGGCATTGGACAGCCGTTTCATCCTATTGTAGGACTCTTCAGCAGTACGCGTCCACGACCCCGCGAGATTTGAACCTAGGACCTACCAGTCTCGCGCCAGGCACTTAACCAGCTAGACCACTGAGCCGACATCCAATGGTGCTAATGTCTAACCTCAACCAATCCACGAAATCGCGCGACCATCTTCCATTGTACTGAGGTAGACACTTGTTTCTACCCGACCGTCCAGTGCTTCCAGGTTTTCCATGGTAGTCTAGCTTCAATTGACTCATGATTTCAATCAAAAACTTAACAATCTCCGCAACCCCTAAACTGAAAAATAATTTTGATGATTGATGAATAAGATTTTAAATTTGTTACTGTTTAAGTAATAGTTGATTTATCACTGAGTATAATCCATTCAGTTAAGTTAGATAAATCACTAATCTCAATTCAATGGTACATATGAAGTTCAAAGAAGGGATACAAAAGATTAATGTACATAGTGATCTTGATTATTAACTAAGATGTAGATTGTCTAAAATAACACTTGATACAGTTTATAAACTTCATATATCAATATAACTTATATAACTAATATAATTCATGATCATAATAAAATAAGGATACTTTGATTAAGTTCTAATTTCTGATTATTGAAATATTATAAATATATCAATATAATTTATTATTAGCAATCAATATATCTTAATTTATGTGTAATTATCATAATGGGGATTTGCAGAGATTGTGGTATTTTAACAGTTAATCTAAGTCAAATAACCATTGAAAACCTCGAAGTATCGGACAGAAGTTTCGTAATAGTATGGGACTACTCATCAGTGAGTATACACGATCACACACACATTTCAAAAACATGACCTTCAGTTTCGTCGATTAATGCTTAACCTCTAGACCAGTGACCTGGTATCCAACTGTGTTAATATGTAACTTCAATCAATCCATAATCACACACAACGCTTCATCCATTGTCTGAGGTGGATAACTGTCTACACCCGACAAGCATTGAACCCTCTGGACCTGTTGAAATTAGACACTAACATCGTTGAATGCCGGCCTGCTCAGTGGTCTAGAGATTAATTGTTCATGCACGAAGTCGAAGGTCGTGGGTTCGAGGCCCATGTGAGTGACTGTAGATGAACACTTTTGAGGAGTCCCATAGTATTACAAAACGACCGTCCAACGCTTCTAGGTTTTCAATCGTAGTCTAGCTTAGGTCGACTCGCGAATTCATTTGGTAAACTTGTCAACAATTATCGAGTTAACTATTGATTATTATAATTTATAATTAATGATAGTTTTGAAAATATTTCTTGGTGTCCTACTATACTGAAAAGGATTATTTTTGTGTCAAGCATAGAGTTAATAATACAACTTTGTATTTATTTATTACTTAATGTACTGAACGTATAAGAGGACTCAATAAATTGGGCCACTGTCAATAGAAAATACAAAAAAAACCAATTTTTTTCTGTTTTATATTACAGCAATTGGACAAAAGCTCATATTATTATTTATTTGCCCGTTAAACTCTTAAAACGAAATCCAAGTATAAACGCATACAATCTGATTGTCAATACCCATATTTCTAATTATTCAGTTATTTATAAGTTAATTTGAAATAGAGATTGATATGTAGGAATTGGTGAAGATTGTAGAATTCTATTAGATTAAATAAAGAAATGATCTCAGTTGAATTATTATTTTATAAAAATCATGATCAGTTGAGTTCAAAAATGAATGACTTAAGACAATTATTCAACTGATGCAATGGACAAGGATTGTCCAATATTGTGAATTGACTAAGATAAGACATGTACAAGGCTCTATCCTGACTCATAGCTGTACAAATCAAGAGTTCGCGTGAGACTGAAATTTATGGATTTGATCCCCTGGGATATATTCGTAGATACACACTTCAAAGGACTTTCCTACTAGGACAAAACCGAAGTATACTGCGTCCAGTCTTTTTTTCAGTTGTTGACTAGTTAAGATCAGTTCATGATTTAAACTATGGACTTTTCGCTATTTCCACAACTATATATATATCAATGGAATATTGATTAAAATTATACATTTAATTGCATTTTGAGGTTCATTCGTTTAAAACTGCTCTTCTCAAGAACTAAGATCAATTCAGAAAAGAGAAACATATCACTGATGATACAGATTTGTTTTCGTGTTATGATTTAAACCCAACGTTGTCTTAATTGAGCCTAAACGTTGTTTGCTCATTCTGTGTAGTATTAGTATTAGTAGTAGTAGTATTTGTTGTTGTTGTTGTAGAGTTTGCGAATTGCCTAGAAGCCCAAAAAATAAATACTTATTCTATGTTCTCTGCTTTTCAACAATTACCAAGCTGATTCCGACAAACAACTAGCAAAAAAAACATTTTAAGAAAATATGGCTTGAATGAAAAAAAGTATTTCATTTCCATTAACTCTTCATTATAATCTAGCAGTAATATACAGTTTTACCTATGAATTTGAAATCAATACCAATATGGTGCTAGTGAATATACTAACCCATTATTAAAAATAATAAACTGGTAAAAAAAAAATCGGTTGACTAATAAAACATAATAAACTCCATGTAACTAGCTTAAAATTTCCACATGACATCTCTTAATCATATTAGAAAGCTTTAAAATACATAAATATATCCAGGAAACGACTATACTTCTTTTCTCTTTATTTCTCTCTTCTCTGATTATTTAGCTCACGTCATCAAATTTTTAAAAAAATCTTTTTATATAATCATTTCGAATAGTTCAGAGATTATTTTAATAGTTGAAATCATGAGTCATTTAAAGCTAGACCACCATGGAAAACCTGGACGGCCGTTTCGTCCCAGTATGGAACTCCTCAGCAGTGCGCATCCACGATCTCACCTCACGAGATCCGAACCCATGATCTATCAGTCTCGCGCGCTAGAGCTTAGCCATTAGACCACTGAGTCGACTGGCATCCAACGGTGTTAACGTCTAATTTCAACCAATCCACGAAATCGCACTACCGTACACCATTGTTTTCAGTGTGATGACATCTCACAGCAAACCTGGTTGAACTCCACTAGTCACGATTTCTCACTAGAACTCCAGGAAATGCCTCTTGAAGTCAGTCACTAGTGAGCAAATAATGGTGGTGGCGCAATTTAGTGAATTGGTTGAAGTTAGACATTGACACCGTTAAACGTTGGCTCAGTGGTCTAATAGTTAAGCGAGACTGATAGGTCATAGGTTCGAATCTGCCGGTGGTTAAGGTTTTGGATGTGCTCTGCTGAGGAGTCTCATATTGGGAAAAAACGACTGTCCTGTGCTTCCAGGTTTTCCATGGTTGTCTAGCTTCACTTGACTCATGATTTCAACCATTGAAATTTCTAAAATCTACACAAAACCCCTTGTGATCGTAGATTATTTGTTTAAAATTATGACCACATCTATTTATTCTCTATCCTCATTTTTAGATATACTATTAAGACCGATTTCCATAGTGATGTAATTTCTATATTTGAGATGAGAAATATATGGTGAAAATAAAAAGATATAATTACTTACAGTTTTTTCTGTACGATAATCATGAATAAATGCTTCACGAAATGTTGGTCTACAAGATACCTGAACCTATAAAGAAAATACAAGTAAAGAATGAAGTTATATAAAGAATAAATAAGTATATAATATTAGATGACAAGCCTGACTTAGGTTAAGTTAACGTGACTGGAAAAAAAGGATCTTTTGACCATGTTGAAATGTACAATTCTTTTTAGGTCCACTTATATTATAAATAATATATTAATGAGTATATTATATAATCAAGAATTTTCTGTAAATTGTATGTAGCTCTTCTAGAGTTACTACCGGGTCCCAAGTTCGGGTAAATGAATAGGGTTAAGCATATTAGGTTGACATCTTCATCCTTTAGAAAACAATCTGATAAAAAAACGCCAACCAGATTAAATAAATTAAACCATTACCATCTGGATTCATAGATATAATAAATGGTGATATGCTATTATCGAGTTATTTTAATATTTCAAAATTTAATCAAAAGTGTCACGGAGACATTAAAACAAAATGTATTCATACAAAAAATGTTTAAAAAGATAGACATTTATATATATATATATATATATATATATATATATATATATATATATATATATATATATATATATATATATATATATATTCTTTTTCCTGGAGACCGACTGGATTATGAAGACGTCAACATCTGAGGGGAAGTATGGGATGAAGTGGACTGCTAATACGCAGCTCGAAGTTCGCTAGATTTCGTAGATGATATGGCTGTTCTATCACACAAGCAGCAACAAATGCAGGAGAAGACGACCAATGTAGTAACAGCCTCAACAGCAGTAGATTTCAACATACACAAAGGGTAAAGCAATATTCTCTGATACAACACAACATGCATCAGTCAAATCACACTTGATGGAGAAGATTTGGAAGATGTAAAAGTCTTTACATATAGGACAGCATCATTAATCAACAAGGTGGGTCTGATGCAGATGTGAATGCGTGAATCAGCAAGGCAAGAGCAGCATATCGACAACTAAAGAACATCTGGAACTCAAAACAACTGTCTGTCAACCAACACCAAGATCAGAGTTTTCAATACAAATGTGAAGACAGTTCTACTGTATGAGCAGGAAACTTGGACAACTACGAAATCCATCATCCAGAAGATACAAGTGTTTGTTAACAGTTGTCTACGCAAAATATTTCGAATCTAATGGTCAAACACTATCCGTTATAACGTAGTGTGGGAGGGAACAGACGAGATTCCAGTGGAGGAAGAAATCAGAAAGATGCACTGGAAGTGGATAAGACACACATTGAGGAAAGCACCTATCTGCGTCACAAGGCAAGCCGTCACTTGCAATCCTCAAGACAAAGGTGAAGAGGAAAACCAAAGAATACATTTCATCGAGAAATATTAGATAACTAGTGATAATCAGTAATAAATTGTATATCTACTTTTCATGCTATTTAGCAATTGTTAACGAAGTGTACTTATTATCTTTAAGAACTACACAAGTATAACATTAGTTATTGACTAATAAAGTGTATATAAACACATATGTGTAGGATGTGAGCTAGATTTCCCCCATAGCAATCAAAAACGTTTGCCAACTATCACAAATCGATTGAGATTAGACAGATGCCTAACTGAATGTAAACCCAGTAATTTGAAGCTTAACTTCTCACTGAAAGAACTAAAGGCTTTTGGCCAGATTCCCGAGATGGCCTGGTTTGACCGAGACTGAGGAGAGACAGCTCACCCTCTCGAAATGCTCTCACATTACCATGCGTATACAGCCACTGCTAGCGAAGTTCTAATCAATGCCCTCTTACAATGTGGGTGTTATTTACGAAATTGAGAGGACGAAAAACGAAAGGTTAGCGCTTTAACCGGGTTAGTGGATATGGAAGATCCACTTAGGGAAGTTGGAAAACGATGATTCCAAACTAATGGTTCATATGGGCTCCAGTGTCCTGAAAGAAAAAAATGGTGTATGAACCAATTGTTGGTCACTGGCTACCATGGGCCTTTATCTCCTGACGTTGCTTCACTGCCTTGTAGATCAGACCTTTAGGTCGAAGGCTCCGGGTGTGGCCCTCTAGGTGAATCACCTGATTCGGTTTGAGTAACCGGGCAGTATCATAGACCAAACACAAATCAAATGATTCATGTGGCATATATATATATATATATATATATATATATATATATATATATATATATATATATATATATATATATGTTCAAATAAATAACAATTAAATAAGATTCCCTGTAAACTCATTGTAATATACTTTAAAGGAGTCATACAATAGACCAGTATTTCCCATATTTCATTGATTATCTAACTGAGTTTATTTTATAATAGTCACTGTGACAATGTGTAATTACCAAGGAACATATTTTTTTTTCTGTTTTTTTCTCTTTTGAATGAACAATTAAAGTTTTAACCATTTTAATTACATCTACATCATTTAAATGTTTGTTAATGATGTAAAATTTTTTTAAATAATTCACAAATTTATTACATAATGTACTATTTAAACTTGGATTAATTTTAATTTGGTTATTTATTCTCTGAAGAAGTGACTTACATCAAGTCACGAAACGTCAGAAAATCCAATTTTCTACTCATTGGGATATTACAAATATATTATTTTTATTTATAACAATGAACCCAATGCTCAATTTATTCGAAATTATCAAATCAAACCTTGGTAATGACACCTATAATGTAATTAGGTTTTAATTAATTTTTTTTCTCTCATAAACAATAAAGTGAATTGTTTATTTCATTTGGGTTTTTTTTTATATATGGTCATTATGAAAAATGTTAGTAATATTTAATCAGTCAGTCAATTATAACATTAGGACCAGGCACACACACCTTACTCATTAACACAACAAGATGAACCACCGAATTCATAGAAGTAGTTAAGTCAATGGTGGTAATATATAAGAGAAAGATGGCATATAGGGGTATAGTACGAGAGTGTATACACCTGCACGATTGTGATCGATTCTCAGCCATGTCACCAACAGTTAACAACCATTAGTTACGATAGTCACGCGAACCCCAACCAAGTAGTCTGCATCTACCAACATGGCTTAGACTAGAAGTTAATGACTTCAAGCACTTATGCCACATTTTGGTTTGGCCGCCCCTAACTACTAGCAACATTAGAATAAATGGAAAATACAATCAGGTATCTTAGATTGTTAAAATATAATAATTACAAAACTATAAATAAAAAAAAGTTGTTTTGAATAGTTGAGATCATGAGTCAATTGAACTTAGACCGTCATTGAAAACTTGGGAGCACTGGATGGCCGTTTCTTCCTATCGTGGGACACCTCAACAGTGCGCATTCACGATCCCGCCCCATGAGATTTGAACCCAGTCTCCAGCGCAAACGCTTTACTTCTAGACTACTGAGCCGGTCAGCATCCTATGATGTTAGTGTCTAACTTCAATCGATTCAGAAAGTCCAACCCGTGTCGTATGGAGACAGCTATCCACTTCAGCTAATGGATGAAGGGTTGTGAGAGATCGTGGATAGACTAAAGCTAGACAATAACACGGTTGGATGCCTACTTACTCGTCTAGAAATTAAGAGCTTTTTGAAAAAACTGAAGATCGTGTTTTTGAATGCCGTGTGTGGAATCATGTATGCGCACCGCTGAGGAGTCCCACAATAGGACAAAACATGTGCCTATTTATATTCGATAATTTTGATGCTTAATTATATTTCCTTGAAAAAGCTTGGACCAGATTGTCAGGCGACATGTTGAATTTACTTCAAATTTACAAATATATTCTTCCTCTTTATATAATATAAATTTAGAAATTCTCTTTGTATCCCTATCAACTAATAACATCAATAACAATTCATTAGATATTAGATTTCTTGGACTTATGAATACATCACAACTTATTCAATAGAATTCTATCAATAACACGGATTAAACAAATCACAGAATGGATACCATTCATAGGTGAAATCAGTTTACAAATATGTTTATCTGATTGTTTAAAATGAATTGGCTTACCAATGGAAGACAATTTACATGACAAACAATATGACAAACAGTGCATTTCCTTTTCGCTCCAGATTTCTATACAAGAAAAATATGAACAATATATATATAAAGAAAAAAGAATTAATTATACTGATAAATTACAGAAAATAATTAAATAAATTATTGTGTATCTATTGTTTCTCATGTATAGATAATATAATAAGTTATTCAAGCTGATTAGGAATTACGTCATAGAAATGAGTACATGTATTTTTGAGTATTACAAAAATGAAAATCTACTCCCCGTCATTAGGGAATATAAGAAAGTATACTGTTTAGTTAAATATGAAGTGTTTACTAAGGAAAACAACCAACTGACTTCATAAGAACAAAAAGCAGTTCATTGTTCAAAATATTGCATAAGTCAAATGAAATTTAGATTCACTTAATGTTATTTTAATTGTATCTTCCAATTTTTATTTAGGACTGTAATTGATCAGGCAATATTGAAGCAGTATGCACAGGGTGCACATATGCCAATAACAGATTGATCAATTACAGTATTAAATAACAATGGGAAGATACAAGTAAAACAACACCAAGTGAATTTAAATTTGACCTCATTGCACAAGCAAGTGGCTAACGAAACTCAGTAGCTAGGTGGATAACGTGATGGTGTTTGAAGCGAACAGTACTGAGTCCGGGTTCCGGAGTGAATATCAAATCTGAGGTGCAGGTATATCCAACTGACGAGTCCCAAATATGACGAAACGAGCATTCATGCATTCCACTGCTAACCACTATTCATCTTTGCTTATAGAAATTTAGTTTCAAAAATGAGATTTTCAAGAAGTAACTGATAATTGAGTGAATAATTATTGAAATGGAATGTCTTCTACTCGGACGTTCGTTACTGACTAATTATCTATCATAATATCCCTAGATTACACCTACATTTGGACTTGAATAGTAAGGAAAACGTGCAAATTAATAATGGAATCTTGACCTTAAGATATTTAAAAAAACAACATTAACTATAGATTTATTGATAATCGTTAAACTTTGGAAACTGAAAACATGTTAAGCTAAGTAATAGAGTAGGTAATGATCCAATCAGTGCATGGCAATATAATCTGTTTACATTGTGTATACTGATTGATCAAAATGCTTTCAGACACCTTTTGGTTTCTGAAGATCATTTTAAAGAATTCTTGTGGAGTATAAATAAACGTAAGTGATGAAGATATGTTACAATATGTTGCAGATGAATGAATCATCGAATAAATACCCGATATAAAATATTGACAATATTCAACAATAATCACTAAAAGTAGAAGATAGGAATAATAAATTTGCCTAGCTTACTATATTGTCTAATGGCTCTTTTAAATAATCCCACATTTTAAACCAACCAAATGATTGGACTAGCTATCTGATGAAATGATGTTTGAAGTAACGTATAGTGTAACCTATCAACCTTAAATGTCAATTATTTATCTGTTTTTAGAGCATGTTCAACCTTCATATAGTCAAAAGCATTAAACTGAATAGTTCCGGAGATATTAGTATATGAGGTTAATGAAGACTGATGAATTCAATAGTTTACATAGAGAACTGACGTCAGTTAGACAATCATTAAAAATGAGGAAGCACTAGAGAGACGTTCTGCCATACTATGGGATACCTCAGGAGCATGCATCCACCGTGAGACCTAACTAAGCTACATATTTTTCAAACTGTTTTCTGTGGAATAATGTCACATTTTATGCAGAAGAACTAAATAACACAATAAATCAATAAGTAATTGTTTCTTTCTACCTCTCCACTCTTGGTTAATGTTCAACCATGACATACAACTAAGGATTGATACAATCAGAAAACTGATTTATATTCCGTTTTTGGTTAACCTTCATAATGAAGGTACAAACAAGTCATGAGTACAATGAAAACTCATTTATAATATTAAATACGCAATTCGCTATTTAAAAATGTCAGAAGTGTAGGCAACTGGATCCACCTACAAGAATATATCTTTTAAAAAAAACTTTCATTGAAACCATAAACCAACCTAAATTTAATAAGTGTTGAAAAACTAGAAGCATTAGATGATTGTTTCATCATAGTATGAAATTATTCGACAATATTTCATAGTTGCCACATAATCTTAAATTATCGCATAAAGGAATTATAAGTGGATGTCAGTACATTTCCAATGTTTAAAAACTTAAAAACGAGTATCCTATTGATTGTAAATTGTAAAACAAAAATTTATTATAAATAGGTTTCTCTAATCTTCATTAATAAAACATAGATCTGTTGATATTAAAGAAAAAAAAAGAGTGACTTGATAAAATGCTAATAATCGATTTTCTTTTACCCAATCATGAATTTTTAATAATTGCCTTAGTTACTATGTAATATAAAGCTCTTATACAAAGTATCATGAAAATATATTATCTTGTCAGTGAATGATTTAAGTTTAACAATAGGACAAAACGGCCATCCAGTGCTTTCAGGTTTACCATGGTGGTCTAGCTTCAACTGACTCATGATCTTAACCAGTGAAATAACCATTTTATCAATGATGTAATACGTTACTTGTTAGTAATGATACAGTTCATTGAATGAGTTTTTTTTCTTCATGATACAGAATTATTCTACATTAGATAATATTTTTTAGATAAATTACATTTAAGGTAATAGGTTCTAGTCTAAACTTCGCCCGTAGCTCTTTTAGAATTACTGCCGGTTCCAAGCCTGGTTAAAGGAGGAGGGTTGGGCATGAGGTCGGTAACCCCATCTCATTGACAAATTCTCTTTTAAAAAATCGCCAACCAGATTAAGTATGTTCAAGTCTAATTCTTCTTATGATGCAGTCAATTATAAGGGAATATGTAATGTTAACATACATTTGTGTAACATGTATAATAATTGCTATGGTGGTGTGTACTATTGATGTCGATTGATATAAGTAGTATACATCATCGATCGAAAGTGAAATGCCTAGTGGCAAAAGGTTAAGAAGGTCGAAGAAAAGGTACTGACAACAGAGAATGATTTTTGTGGAAACGAAAGAACAATGAAGTATGAGACGATTGGTTGATATTTTGCAAATGAAGTATTTACTGTATAGTTCTCAGATTTTACTTAGACGTTCTATAATTTTGTATCCATATACATTCGATTGTCCCCACGTGTATTCTCGTTCACTACACTATCATGGAGATATACGATATTTATGTGTGACGCAATTAGATCCGATTAAACAAACACATTTTTAAAAATAATAAATATACGTTTGTTATATCCCAATGAGTAGAAAAATTGTATTTCTGACGTTTTGTGACTTCGTGTTAGCCACTTCTTCATTGTCAATAAATTTTTAATATTGCCTTGAACACATGAAAATACAGCAACAATGTTTTCAGTTTTGTATTAAGAATCCGCCTTTGAAAAAGTATTAGTAATTAATAGCTCTCGATTAACTATATGTTATTTCATTGAGACTTATACTGTACATCAAAACTGTTTTATTGATTACTGGATAGTCTTCTGATAGATGCTACTGTCTAATCAGAAGTCGAACATAATAATAATGCCAGTTAATGAGTATCACTATAGCTGGTTGAAGGTAGTCGATAGGATATTCTGAATGTAGGTTTCGAGCCATTTGACACTCATTAGAAAGTTGTGCCTGTAATCTTCAGGATGCTTCCTAGCGAATTCAATTCAATGTCACCTAACTTTACAGTCTATGATGTTGTCAGTAAAGTCTTTGGGTAGCAACTCACCTTCTATCAGGATTGAGATATTTATGATTGACTGATCATTGAAGTATATAAAATTACTTAGACTAGTGACCATATTGCCGACAGATCGATGAAACTCGAAAAAACAATATAAATTTAACTTCTATTAAATGGCTAGTTAACCATTACTAAATATGACTACAAATGAATTTCTATGCAAAATCAATTTCTGTAATAAATTGTCATATGTATTGTCAATAAATTCAGTTGAAACTTCAATTAATTTAATAATTCTGTATCAAATGACGTAAGATATTACTTACTATAAAGAAATCATTGATAAAAAGGGAACAAACAATCTTAAAACCATTGCCATAAATGTTGAAAAAAAATTATGTTAAGTATGGTAAAAGAAACTGTCTATAGATCTTCTAGAGTTACTGTCGGTCCCAAGCCCGGTTAAAGGAGGAAGGTTGGGTATGGGGTTAGATACTCATCTCGTAGAAAACTAACTCGCTAAAAAACGCTAACCAGAAAAAATTATTCAAACCATTTAAACTCTGCCCTAGAAGTTAGAAGGTCTTTAGTTAGAAGAGTTATGATACCTCATAGTGAAAACCAAGTTCCTGCGTAAGTCACGAGGTCGATTCCCCTTCTAACAACCAGATTGAAACTTTTTATAGGTACATGGAACGTCCGAACAGTGTGTGTGGGAACACTAGTGAAATAGCAACGGAAATGAGGTAGTACTGGGAATCAGTGTAACCAGTTGAACCGAAACTGGACAGCAAAGACTAGATACAAGAAAGTTGCTGCTATATTTCAGTCACCAAAACGAAAATGCTCCACACACTTAGAGAGTTGCACTAATTCTATCCAATGATAAAAGATATTAAATAATCATATTATGATATAATTAAAAGATGTACTGTCCTTTTTTTTCTTGTTTTATTGCAAAAAACTATACTACTTATAATAAGAATAGTTTACAATTCAGTAAACACTAATTTTTACAATCCATGTTTTATTTTACAGATGATTTCATTTATTGTTTTGTGATATTTTACAATAATGAAAAAAACTAACTAAAATTTTCTATTATGATAAATTAAGTAAATCTGAAATCAATAAATTAGGTAGTTGGATTATTTATAAAAGATGTAACTTTAATCTAATCAAATATAAGTAGTAAATGTTGTCATGTAATGAAGTACAATTATATTGAATGGCATTCGATTGAGTTTTATGAATTGAATGAATGATTGAATAATTTGATGTATATCATATATGATATAATTAATTACGTCTGTTACGTCTTTGTGAAGGAACATAGGCTGTTCACCACTACTCCTCATTGAACTCTATCTTAGATAATCTTTTCTATTAGTTTTTAGTTGTTATTCATCCTTTGCATATTTGTTTTCGTTTCTTGCCACAATTTGTTCTTTTTTCTTCCTCTTTACCATTCCGTTTTTAGACTTCAAGTAATCGCTTTTCTCGTGATGCAGTCTGATGATTTCCGTAATGTATGTCCTATCCATTTCCAACATATTTTCCTAATTTTTGATTTATTTGGAATCTGGTTTGTTCTCTCCCACAGTATATTGTCGTTGATGGTATCCGACCAACGGACAGTGGATATCTAACGTAAACAATTGTTAAGAAATAGTTGTACAGATTTGATGACGTTTTTAGTAGTTCAGCTCCGAACAATAAAACTGTATGGTGACTTTGATATTGATTGAAAACTGTTTTGAATTTCATATGTTCTTCAATTGTAAGAATTCTGTCCTTGCTTAGAAAGTTCTCTCCTTTATGGCTTTATATCAGATCCTACACGTTCATCGATGATGCTACTCAGATATTTGAAACTTTCCACCTCTCCTAGAGTTTCTCCATCATGTCTGATTGGATTGATGTTCTCCGTAATCTTATATAATATATTATCAAAAAATGATACTCGAGTTTTTTTTCCTTGGAGTACCACGAGAATGCCACGACAATATCAGTTTTTATTATTTTCCCATTTAATAAGTAATGAAAATTGAAAGTAGACATCTGTTTCTTTATAACTGAAGATCCGATTAGTATAGGTTTACAGTTTTCTGTTGATTAATTTCTATCACTTAAAATTTAACTAATATTCACACATTAATAAATCACTCAGAATACCAAATAATTATGGATAAATTAAGCAAATCATTTTTAGCAATTTAATAGTTGAATTTACTAGTCAATTGAAGCCAGAACACCATGGTAAACCATCCTAGTATAGAACTCCTCAACGATTCGCATCCACGATCATGCCTCACAAAATTTGAACCCAGGATCTGTTGGTCCCGCGCTCGAACGCTTAACTTTTAGACCATTGAGCTGACATCCAATAGTGTTAGTGTCTAACTTCAATCAATTCAACCAACCAAATTATTTTTACCACAAAAAAGTCCTACTTATATTGTATACAAAACAGCAATAAAATCTTCCAAGTCAAATTAATCAACTTTAAAGAACAATAACATAACTAAAAGTATCCACCCTGAAACAAGAATCTTCTTTATCATTTTCAAAACAGAAACATTACAAGATACAATGTAAATTACCAAATAGAATTCATGTATCCCTTAAAAAAAATTAGACAAATACAATAAACTAGTTACTATTTAATGATTAATTAAAATTCATATTATTTGATATAACATTCCTATTGTCTATTTAAACACTTTTTAATTTAACTCATTATGATCATTTTATCACTGAACTAAAATAACAAACTTCAAATTACATAAGAATTATATAGTAACTGTGAGAGATAAATAAATAGAAAAAAAAAGAAATGGATTTAAAATGTCAAAATTTAATGCAAAATTACAGCATATGATGATGATGATGATGTAAGATGAACTGAATTGGAAATATATATATATATATATATATATATATATATATATATATATATATATATATATATAGAGAGAGAGAGAGAGAGAGAGAGAAATATAGATAAATTAAAAAAAGAAATGAATGAACTAAGTGCCAATAAATGAATGATTACAAATAAATAAGATTTGATTATAAAATGTCTATAATAATATTTCGTAGATTCGAATTATATTTAATTCATTGAAAAGATATCAGACAATTATGACGAATGAAACCTGGTTACAAAATTAGTTGTTGTTGTTTTTTATTTGGACGGGGGGTGTGGGTGGGGGTGGGAAAGTAGATCTAAATAAATCCATAATAATATGTCATGTTTATTGTATGAAAAAAAAGAAGAAGAATTACTGAAGTATACACGTCAGATCGTCGGGCTTTTTTTTATTTATTTCTCACTTGTTCAACTGTATACATTAATATCATCTATGTTATATCATTTAAATTCTACTATATACATAGTAACATAGAATAAGTTAAGCTTAGTAACTAGATTAAATTATAATGAATCTGAAGCTTTGAAAGAAAAATTCTGTAATGAACTAATACTTAGATGGGAATAACCAATTTATTCTTTAATTCAAAATTGAAAATTATACATTAAATACTTCAATTTTCTCTTGCAAACTTAATCTTTCCTTTATTCCAGCTCTCATTACAATTACTCTTTGTTTACGATCTTGTTCTTTTTACTTCGATCTTCTCAATCTTTTACTGCCAAGCATTCCATTTCCTATTAATGTTACATACTACTTATGTTGATAGATGTAAGTAGCATAGATCATACTTTCAGTTTACATATTACATCATTTGTAAATGCTAAAATTACATACATATTAAAACTGTTTATTATGAAATAAATAATTGTGTTAATTTAATAATCTACATTAAGGTCATATGTTTAATTAAGATTAGGAAATGATGTAGACCGTGAAAAAAACAACCATTGAATAACCTTCATATCTGTCTCACATCTGTTAGTTGATTATTTTATTATTAAAATTTAGATAAGATTATTATTAAAATTATCTAACCATTGTTTTTGATACTGTACACAATAATAGATTTTTCAAATAAAATTATGATAAAGGGGTTAATCTGACATGGCTCGAAATCGTTTACAATGGAACAGGTGGATCCACTGTTTGTGTTCTCCCTAATTCTAATCATCTGAATTCTACATATCCCCTTCCTTTTCCTCTTTTCAAATTTATTTTACTGGATTATACTCTTTGTATAACATCTTCAAACCCTAATGTTTCCGATTACTGTTTATACTTTTATTATCTCTACCACTATACGATTTGAATCAACAATTGTATCTCTGTATTAATGTACGTATGTACTCAGCTTTGCGTGAAATTCAAATATCAAGTATAACAAGTGGTAGAAATACCATGTCACAGTGTTCAAAACGTTCGAAATGAAAATCTTTAAAAAAATTACAGTATTTTTGTGGCCTGATATCTGACTTCAATTAAATCGTATGAATGTTATTGAAATACATATGTCGCCTATCTTTATATATAATTATCGACTTAACTTGCGTTAGTGAATAACGGAATTAAAATACGAAAATGGATTTTTAATATATATATATATATACATTTAATCGGAACAGATAATTAAAGAGACGTAAAAAAGAGTGAAACGAGACGGCGCATAGGAGAGGCGTGTGAGCCAACTCCAATTAATCAAGCGTTAATCAATATTTATAGTCACACAAAAGTAAGGTACACATATATGATGAATAGGATAAGAAGCGTACGCACACATACCCTCATAAAAAAGTCAGAGTTGATAAGTGACTAATTGACAAGGTAAAAACGTAACTCAAGAAAAATGGATATACAGCAGGCAAATGAACATTCTCTCAAAATTTGAAACCCTAACCGCCCATTGATATCATGAAGTTATCTAAGTCAGCTTACCATTCGAAACATGGAAACATTATACAGCCTTCTCGTTCTAATATAGAACTCCTCAGCAGTGCACATCTAAGACCTCACACGCGAGAGTTGAACCTAGGACCTTCAGTTTTATGTATCACCACTCAACCTCTAAACCAGTGAAGCGGGATTTAACGGCTAACTAGAGTTTTTAAAATATAAAAATACTTGAGCTGAAATAAATACGAGGACATTAAAAGACCACAGCAAAATATAAATTCCAAGTTTTTTTTAAATAAAAATGTCCCTTTCTGAAGTCAATTATATAGTCACTCTGTGTTACTGCGCAACAGTAAAAACGTAAGTTTATAATTGCTTTAAATTAGGTAGCTTTTAATATTTTTTTAGAAATTTAAAAGTTGTTTCATTAATTACATTTCGTAACTAGGGTAATTAAACTAACATTTAATGATATTGAATCAACACTTTATTGCGGCTTTTTCAATAAGACTTTCATATAGTAAGTTATTTTAACTTTCGTATAAATCAAAATGGCTTTTGTGGAGAGTTTTAGAAATTTCACAAGTTGAAATCATGAGTCAATTGAAGCTAGAACATTATGGAAAATCCGGAAGCACTGGACGGCCGTTTCGCCATAGCATAGGACTCCTCAGCAGTGCGCATCCGCGATCCCGCACCACGCGGGGCTCGAACCCATAACCTACTGGCTTCGCGCGCGAGCACTTAACCACTGTACCACTGAGCTGGCATCCAACGGTGTTAATGTCTAACTTCAACGAATCCACGAAGTTTGAGCCCCGCGTGGTGCAGGATCGTGAATGCGCACTCCTGAGGAGTCCCCCAATAGGACGACACGGCCGTCCAGTACTTCCAGGTTGGTATAACATTAATCGGTTTAAGATCTCAATCAATCATCTATCAGTAGTTTGATAAGTAAATTGGACATCGTTTCACAGTTAATTCACCAACACTTAAATGTATACAATGACTTATAATTATGAAATTAAAAAAAACAATGAGACTATCATTGAACTTACAGTACATTCTGATTCATCAACATAACACGTTTCCGTAGAAGTTGTATCATTCCATAAATGTTCACCAATTAATGCAGCATTCTGAAAAGTAACAATTTCATCGAAGTAAAAGTTCTAAGATTTGTAAAACTGTATGCATAATCAAATTCAAAATTCACCAAAAAAAATCCCAACTTCAATGTATAATTTAATATTGATGATTCTTCGACATGAAACTTGTCAGTGACAAACTTTTCTTGACAAAATGTGTGGTTAATCTTGAAATATACTTAATTCAGTTTGATAATCTGTTAATTGCTTCAACGAAAGGGATAGATAAGCCAAGCAAATATACGATCTTCAGTCCATCTAATACATTATTAAGTACCTAACATACAATGAGATGTAAAGATATTGAGACTCCAAATGAACAATCACAAGAGTTTTGCAATTGAATATCACCTACGCATTTCTTTTTTTATTATCTGGATTTCGAAACCTTACGGATGTTTTCTGTCATGATTATGAAGTTCTATGAAGTTAGCTGAATGTTATTGACATTATGAATTGACCTGAGTTAGGCAACCGTTGAAAACCGAAAAGCATTGGATATCTGTTTTGTCCCAGTATACATTCCCTCAGTAGTGCGCATCCACAACACTAGAAATCGGATATAGCGACTTCAGCTCTTTTGAAGAAAGCTTGATATTAAGACTGCTGATTGTACATCCAATAACTTCAACGTCAAACTTCAGTCGCTTAATAGTACAGCGTCTCGGCCTTTGAAGATTAACTACATGCCACTCCAGATGGTTAAACTTGAACAATTTCATAAATATAAACACTATTTATAAGCACACATGGATAGTGGCTAGCACTGGAATTCGGGACGCGAGTTTAGTCCCATTTGGGACTCGTCAGTTAGATATACCTGCACCTCAGATTTGATATTCACTCCGGAACCCGGACTCAGTACTGTTCGCTTCAAACACCATCACGTTATCCACTTAGCTACTGAGTTTCGTTAGCCACTTGCTTGTGCAATGAGGTCAAATTTAAATTCACTTGGTGTTGTTTTACTTGTATCTTCCCATTGTTATTTAATACTGTAATTGATCAATCTCTTATTGGCATATGTGCATCCTGTGCGTACTGCCTCGATATTGCCTTAAGTCATAAACTTTCTAAGCAAAGATGGATAGTGGATAACGCGACGGCGTTTGAAGATAATGGTAGTGAATTCGAGTTCCACAAAGTACATCAACTTTGAGATGCAGGTACATACAGCTGACGAGTCCCAAACAGGACGAAACGTACTTCATGGATTTCACTGCTAGCCATCACCATCCATCTTTGTTTATAATGCTTGCGAATTAAGATAATATCGAGGCAATACCCATAGTATGCACATATGCCAATAAGAGACTGATCAATTGCAGTTCTAAACATCAATGCGAAAATTCAAGTAAAACAAAATCAAGTGAATCTTCACATACACTGTGACTTGATTTAATAACAATGATGCAATTGTTTGATCCACTTTTATAACCAAGTTATCTAACTGACTTTAGATACTCAAAAATTTTTAAAGAATTAACCAATTGTAAACATAATAACCCAGATCAACAGTCTTAGCCTCTTTTTGCATATTTGTGTTATTTATAGTTTGAAAATGATTGTTAACTCAAAAGTAATTCAGTACATTCAAAAGGATAGTACTATTCCAAAAAGAAAATTAATATATATATATATATATATATATATATATATATATATATATATATATATATATATATATATATATATATGATTTTGCAATCTGTGTTTCAGATATTGTAATATATGTGTGTTTTGATGAAAACAACAACTGATTGTACATCAAAGAACTATGTGAATTGAATGAAAACTTTACTCTTTATTAGGAAACCTAGTTTTTGACATACAGTGAATACATAAGTTCATACATGAATTCATCTTCTAAACACTATTACATTTATTGTTGATCATTCAAAAAAACAAAGGTCATGTTTAATTTGTACCTAATACTTACTTAACAACATAAAATATATGTCAAACTAGTTTGATAGTAGTTTCAAAACTCTCTAAAATATAAATGATAATTTCACTTTTCTTTTTTAAGAATTCGAATAGAATATATATCGAGGACAGAGAAGAATATGAGGTCATTGTTGTTAGATTATCATGAAAAATAGCATTCGGTTAACTTAAATAACCATCTAATTTATTGATATTGTGATATTTGACACAGTGTTAAACTACCATATTAAAAAAGCAAACAATATATTCATTCTCAGAAAGGGTTTGTAGAGATTTTTAAAAATTTCACAGATTCAAATCATGAGTCGATTGAAGCTAGACCACCATGGAAAACCTAGAAGCGTTGGACAGCTGTCTCGACCTATTGTGGAACTCTTCAGCAGTGCGCACCCACGATCCCGCACCCCGTGAGATTCGAACCCAGGACCTACCAGTCTCGCACCAAGCGCCTAACTAACTAGACCCCTGGGACGGCATTCAGTGGTGTTAATGTCTAACTTCAACTCCAACTTCGTGAATACACACTGCCGAGGAGTCCCATACTAGGACGAAACGGCCGTCCAGTGCTTCCAGGTTTTCCATGGTGGTCTAGCTTCAATTGACTCATGATTTCAATCTGTGAAAAATATTCATTCAACAAAACCTTAGTAAAAATATACTAACCTATATAGAAATAAACTATTTAAGTAGTTTGATGAATATCGCTATTATAGATGACATTGAAAAAATGTCTACTTATTGGAAAAGATAATTTTATTATTCTAAACATGATATGACTTGACATCATATTTCCTAATGAATATTCCATGAAATGATGACTATAGATTAGTACTATGTATCCTTTACTCCATAGTACTCCATAATGATATTATGATTGATTTTTTTACTTTTTAAAATAAAGTACTGACATCAAAATAGGAAGAGATATAGGGTTATTTAGGACAATGTTTAAACAATGATGAGTCAATTAAAGCTAGACCACCATGAAGAAACTAGAAGTATTGGACGATCATTTCGTCCTAGTATGGGACTCCACAGCAATGTGCATCCACGATCCTTCCTGCGAAATTCGAACCCAAGACCTATCGGCCTTGTGCGCGAACGCTTAACCTCTAGACCACTAAGCCGGCATCCAACGGTGTTAATATCTAACTTATGTGATTAACTAATATTCCGTAGACATAGTAACTTCATTTTTTATACTACGTTATGAGTATTTCTAATAAATATTATAAAATCATTATAGATCATGACTTAAAGGATATTGATTGTATATTGTTGAATGTAAATCACAACATAAACTGTACTTAACTTTCATTTCAAAAATGACCAGTTATGACACAATTCAATTTTAATTAAAGTGATTCACTTAAAAATTCATTCATATACATTTAGTGTGTATTCCAAATCATAGTATAAAATATCAATGGTATATATATATATATATATATATATATATATATATATATATATATATATATATATATATATATATATATATATATATATATATATATATATATATATATATATATATATATATATATATATATATATATATATATATATATATAGGTAGATAAATAGATGGATAGATAAGGAAAGCTTGAAAATGATTATATCAAATACTATTCTTTAAAATAAATAATGTTTGTTTTTCTCATTTACATTATTTATTCAACATTTTACTTACTGTCCAATTAGGCGTGGCTGAGATAATTGAGCATAATGTACTAGAAGATGTATGTAACAATTCAATATTTCCTTGATTTTGTTGTTGTTGCTGTTGTTGTTGGCTAGAGAGTAGAAAGAAAAGACAACGATAATTACTTAGTGATAATGTTTATATATATATGCTTATACAGAGAATTATGATAGAATAGCATTAAAAGTAATGAACAATAATGAAAGTGGATGCGCACTGCTGAGGAGTTCCATAATAGGACGAAACGGCCGTCCAGTGCTCCCAGGTTTTCCATGGTGGTCTGACTTCAACTGACTCATTGTCTTAACCATTGAAATATTGAAACGCTTAACTAATATCACTGTGCTTACCGTTGAAGTATGGTTGTGTGCATTTCAATTACTTTTATACTACAATTATATATATATATATATATATATATATATATATATATATATATATATATATATATATATACTTGACAATCTTGACATATATTGATTAGCTGGTTAACTTAAGGCTAACATGTACCAATGTCTTAAATGCCTAATCCAATCATGATAATAAACTAATAATAATTAATCAATGACAATAATACAATCAAATGACTTTTAAACTTATTATGAAATCTGTAAACAAAATATTTATTTGTTTTGTTTTATTATTTTTGATCCTCAGGTAATTGTGTCAATTAAATTGTAATGCAAACGATAATAATTCAATAATAATTCGTGAAGGCGCGAATCGGTAAGGCAAGAGCAGAACATCTGGAACTCAAAACAACTGTCTGTCAACCAACACCAAGGTCAGGATTTTCAATACAAATGTCAAGACAGTTCTACTGTATGGAGCGGAAACCTGGAGAACTACGAAAGCCATCATCCAAAAGATACAGGTGTTTATTAACAGTTTTCTACGCAAAATACTTCGGATCCGTTGGTTGGACACCATTAGCAACAACGTAGTGTGCGAGAGAACAAACCAGATCCCAGTGGTGGAAGAAATCAAGAAGATGCACTGGAAGTGAATAGGACACACATTGAGAAAAGCAGCCAACTGCGTCACAAGACAAGCCCTCACATGGAATCCACAATGGCGAAGGAGGAGAGGAAGATCAAAGAACATATTACATCGAGAAAGGGATACAGATATGAGAAAAATAAACAAGAATTTGATGGTACTAGAAAAGAAGGCTCATGACAGAGTGTGTTGGAGAATGCTGGTGGGCAGCCTATGCCCCGTGAGGAGTAACAGACGTAAGTAAAGTAAGTAAAGTAAATGAAATATTTGAAAGTGTTGATCATTTATTAAGAATAGTAAGATAATTATTAAAAAGTAGAGATTATAGAATACTCATATTAGTGTGTAAAGATGGATAAAAATTTACAAATCATAATGAAATAACTGTTCAGTTTTCTTGATGACACAGTGAATGGTCAGATCATTAGTGGTTTCGCACCACTGAAGAGTCCCACGATAGAACGAAGAGACCGGCCAGTACTTCCAGGTTTTCCATGGTAGTCTAACTTCAACTGACACATTATCTCAACTCTTAAAATTACTACAATCTACACTAAACACCTTCTGATAGTTTATTATTATTATTATTATTATTATTATTATTATTATTAGTAGTAGTAGTAGTAGTAGTAGTAGTAGCAGTAGTAGTAGTGGTAGTGGTAGTAAGAGTTTGAATTATCTCGGTTTTTTTTGGTATTCATTACTGAATATTCATCATTTTGTGATGACATATGTTCATCCTATACACATTGCTTTAATGTAATCATTTTCTTATAACGTTTTATTTTGAAATAGACGGATTCTTGACTCACATTGGAATTTAGAGCTAATGTTTCGTTTTTTGTTTTCATTTGTCAGATTGATATGCCAGTATCTCAGTTCTGATGTTTGAAATATGACAGAAGCATGGTGTCTTTAAACTCAGCCTACTAAGCTGCTAAATACACTACTAGTCAAAAAAGGTTGTAATGAAATGACTTTATGATGAAAATTCACACAGGATGTTCGTTTACCAACAAAGACTGATTAAAATTCAGTATCATCTATTTGAAGCAAAATAACTCAAACACACATCACACACATTGAATAAGTCAGTGCTTATTTTAAACTCAGTAATTCAATAAATTAAAAACAATTAAAAATTCTTATTAACTATTTGTATACAAATTATTATGATGATGATCATCCGCTTTATCCGATGTAGTGTTTTTTCGCAGTTGGCACAATTTATTTTGTAGATGATGATTGATTTCACAAGTTGAAATCATGAGTCATTTGAAGCTTGAACACCACGGAAAACCTGGAAGCACTGGATGGCCGTTTCGTCCTGGTACGGGGCTCCTCAGCAGTGCGCATCCACGACCCCACACCTCGCGGGACTCGAACCCAGGACCTACCGGTTTCGCGCGCGAGCACTTAACCATTAGACCACTGAATGCTTCCAGGTTTTCCATGGTGGTCTAGCTTCAATTGACACATGATTTCAACTTGTGAAATTTCTAAAAATCTCCACAAAACACATTCTGATAATTGATTTGTTTTCCTTTGTTATTTTATCCTTTAGTTCGCATAGGATTGATTCTAGTGATTTTGTCGGTTTGTGTGAAAGTATGTGTTCGTGTGGAAGTAAGAATTGCAATGAGTTATATAACTGTATGAAGATGAGTAGATTAATGCAAAACAAAACAAAAATCAATTATGTAAGCTATGTAGGATATGCATTTGACTTGGCAGTCAAACTGATGTATAAATGTTTTGTTTAAACATATATAACATAGGAATATTATGATCGGATAAACAAACAGGCAGTCAAGAGTACCGTTTATATAAAACAAAAACGGTACATGGATAGAAGTTAATAACTAATCAATTAAAAAGTATATATCTACAGGATTATAAATAACCCATTAAATATTCAAATGAAATATAAACCATAAAGCAATTTCGATAAGAACAAACTTGTGTGGGTGTAAGGCTTCTACAAACATTTCAATGTTTTTTTTGCCATTGATAACAGTGTTTTGAAAATATTTTAAAATTAATGGTCTTGAGTATACTGTGTGGCAGTTCGTTCTGTTCTACTTTACAGCTGCGAAACGTGGTCATTATGAGTAGAAAATACTTGTGAGTTACCAGTATTCGATCACAGATGTCTTAGAAATATTGCTCACATCTGCTGGGATCACCGGATAAGTAATAGTAAGGTTAGACCCAGAAAATTAAGGGATGATGGTTGTGAATATTTATCAACTGAGATGAATGGGCCACGTGTTGCGTATGCCTGAACACTGATTACCTCGACCCGCAATGCTGACTAGTGTTAGGGATGGTTAGAAGAAAGTTAGGGGCAGTCAAATAAAAATGTGGCATCAGTGCTTGAAGTCATTAACTTCTAGTCTGAGCCATGTTGGTAGATGCAGAATACTTGGTTGGAGTCTGCGTGACTATCGTAACCAATGGTTGTAAACTGTGGGTGACATGGTTCAGAATCGATCACAATGGTGTAGGTGTATATACTCTATGTCTTCTTCTAAACTTCGAGATTGAAATCGGTTCATATCTTTTTTTCTAATAACTAATTTTTTCTTCCTGTACCGTATGGGTGATTTCTGATTGTAGCTTATCCGGACATATCACCCATATAATCACTATAATCACTTATGTTCTTTTTTATGTAAAGATCAGACAAGTGACTATGGTAATCAAACCAACTAAATCAAACTATAAATGTTATAATGCAAAAATATCAACGGTGAAAATTATTCATTCACTCTTAATCCATGTATTTGCATTCAGGGACATGTAATAAATGACTGGAATCTTGCATAGCTTGTTAAAAGTACCATTCAGAAAAGGATAATCACGCTGAAGATGTTGTGCTTTCTTAATTGGATTACTCAGAGTATATAGTACATACACCAAATAGAGTCCTTCCATAATTAGAATTTTATAAATTGATGTTCGTAAATATGTGGTCGTTATTCACAGATTTATTTTAGTTAGGTTTCTCTGTTGGTCTGATTTAAGACCCTCAACGTTTTAAGTTTATTTATTATTGACAAATAGATTCAAACAATTTCTACATATCTGTTGATTAGCGATTACCTGGGATGAAAGGTTTCGAAAAAAAACTAGATAACACAAAACGTTTAGTACCCTCACATTCAGCTACAAATGTTCTCCAGTAAAACAAGGATGGTTGTCGTAGCATGGTAAAAATTAGGCAAAAATAAATAAGAACTTTTGTTTGAATTTCACCAAATAGTTTCACAGTATTTGGACGCCGAGTTGATGCAAGACATTAAAGAAGAAGAATGTATTTGTAATTGAAAGTTTGTGTTAATTTAATGTTCCAGTTAATTGGCCAACAAATTCAGATAAGATATCTGATTTGAACCGTTGAATGTAATTTCTGTTATTCAGATAATACAAGATAAATAAGTTCAGGTTTACTTATTGTTTATTGGTTGCCATGGGTCAGCTAGTTGTATTCCATCTCTGCTATTAATACTATTTGGATTAGCACATATATGTAGGGCTTTGGCTGTTAGTCTCTCTCTTTGTAAGAATTAAAGCTTTTTTGAAGGATTCTTGTACCAGTCAAATCAATTGTATGACCCAATTCTATCTAATATAATGCTACCGCTGATTTATTCTCGAGTTTTCCTACATCAACTGAAGATTGAGGAATGTGCTTCGAGCATATTTTGTGTTCTTTCACTGTCACATTACAGTCACCACATTTGATTTCATGAACACAATTCAGTTGTTCCTCATTGTGTATCGAATCTTTGACTCATACTATTTTTGATTTTATAGTAGTGAAAAAGCTTGAAGCAGATTGCTAAGTGAAACGATGGATTTACTTCTAATTCATTAATTGTTTTTTTGCAAATACATTCTCCCACTTTAATAGGCAAAAATACTTTTTTGAATGGGATATCTTTAAAAGGTATTCAAAAAAAATCAAGTTACATCAGTACGAATATACAGAATATTCACTTTATATACAATCCAAGCCGTGACCAATGGAGCCAATCCGTGTTGGGTCGAGGCAGGCATCTATCTTAGTACAATGGAAGATGGTCGAGC